AAAAGAGAGAAAGAGAAAGCCCTCAACACGAACCCTCCGCACACACACACACACGCGCGCGCGAAAAAAAAACACGCAACCGGTCTGAACCCCCCCCCCCCCCCCTCCACCACCCCCCACCTTTTTTTTATGTAAAAGAGAGAGAGAGAGAGAGGGAGAGGGGGGGGTTGGGAATAAAAGGGGTTAAAAGTACCCCCTCTCACCCCCTCCCCCTGAAGCCGCTGAAGCTTTCCCCCCCCCCCTCCCCCCACCCCCCTCCCTCGTTAAAAAAAATATAAAAGTCAGTCAGAGAGAGAAGGAGAGAGAGAGAGAGAGTGAGGGAGGAACTGCGGCGAGAAGTGAGAGAAAAGGAAATTTAAAAAAAAAAAAAATGCGAGGCCGGAGAGGAAGGCCGCCCAAGACGCTCGACGGCTCGGCTCCGGGGGGCCCCGCGGGCAGCCTGAGGTACCGGGCCGGGCGAGGCCGGGGACTGGACAGGCGCGTCAACCACTCGGAGCCGGGCGGCCGAGGCAGCAGGACGCCCCGAGGTAAAGTCGGGAGCCGAGGCAGCGGCGGAGGAGGCGGAGGCGGCGGAGGAGGCGGTGGAGGAGGCGGAGGAGGAGGAGGCCGGGCCCGAGCCGGGGCCCAACATTGCGCGGCGGCGGGAGGCGGCGGCGGCGGCAGATCCCGGAGAGCCGTCAACAAAGTGATCTATGACGACCACGAGAGCGACGAGGAGGACGACGAGAGTCCGGTGTCGGAGGAGGACGAGGATGAGGAGGATTCTCAGGAGAAGAACGAGGAGGACCAGGATTCGGATTACCAGCAGGCCTCCGAGGAGGAGGAGGAGGAGGAGGACGACGACGAGGACGACGACGCGAGCTACTGCACAGAGAGCAGCTTCAGGAGTCACAGCACTTACAGCAGTACTCCGGGTACGGTCTCTTCCCCGACGCGGGGCATTTACCCCCCCCCACCCCACCCCCCCCCCAAAAAAAACGGGGCATTTTAAGTCGTGTGTGGGTTTTTTTTGGGGGGGGGGCGGAGGAGGGAGGGAGGGGGAAAAAAAATCTTGTTGATCATCATAATCTCCCCCCCCCCCCCTCCTCACTTCACCCCCTCCCCCTTTAAAGCCTCCCCAATGCCCGGGGCCTTCGCCATATTTGGTTGCATTGTTTGGAAAGGCACTCTCTCTGGCGAGTCCCGCACACACTCACTCACACACACACACACACACACACACAGCGACGATGGCAGTTGCGAACTATCGAACTGCCCCCCCCCCTCCCCTCTCTCCCCCCCCCCCTCCCCTCTCTCTCCCCCCCCCCCCCCCCCGCAACGCGACGGTGCGTGCAACAGTTGCCCACCGAGAGGAGGCATCTGCAAAAAGTGTGGCTGATCGGGTTACTGTGTGTTTGGTGGTCGATTTCAACCCCCTCCTCCCCCCCCCACCCCCCATCCCCTCCCCTCCCCTCCTCCCCCCACCCACCCCCCCCCCCCCCCCCCCACGACTGCTGTGATGGTCTGAAGTCGAGGTAGTTTGGTATTGGGAGCACTGGTCTTGACTTCCATGTGACTTAAAGTGCAGTCACACACAGTGCGCGTCTTGGGAGAGTGGCGTTTTGAGCAGAGTTTTGTTCCCTGACGACCCCCCCCCCCACCCCCACCCCCCCCCCCCCCCCCCCCGTACGTTGCGGACTTACCTCGGCGACGACCTGGGGTGTCAACGGAGTGGATTTGGACCGTTTTAAACTTTTTTTTAAGATTGGATTTTGTAGTCGTGCCTCCGGTCACGAGCCGGTCTCCCGCGGTTGGTTCCTCTGATCTGTTTCATAACGGTGGCAAGAAATTAATTCTTGAAAACCTTGTTTTGGAGCAGTCTTAGCGATTACCGCGACAACTTGCATTTTTCAATTGCAATTATTAAAAGCGTCCAAAGGAAACAGCCATGGAAAGTAGAAAATGAGCGATGCAAGATGTCACTTATCAGGGTTAAATAAATTGTTTTGCCGTGGGAATTAAAACTACAGAATTTTCTGTTGCTTTCGGTCAAATTCAACCTCCTTGCCTCTTGATGAAACGCAACTGATAACTTTTGGTCTCTCACTTACTTTTCCTGCAAATCTTGGGGTGCACTTTGTGATTTAAGACAGTACAACTTATTTAAAGTTGATCGTTTCGGAAATAATCTAATTTATGAAAAAAATTTCTGGAGAAGGATTGATGCTCATCAACATAACAGTACTGGGACATTTCAACAATGTACATAACCTCAAATTATTCAATGCTTTGTAGTGTCATCCTAGACTATGAGTTCAAGTACTCACATCCTTCTGACTCTGAGGCGAGAGCGTTATCAACCAAACCACATTGATGCGTCACTTGATCAGTGTTTTCATAATAATTCATTTAGGAAGCCAAATGGGAAGAACTTTAATTATTATTGGAGTCAAAAATATATTTTTCAGCTTGCTTAATGGTACTGTTTGTTTAGCCATTATAGATTATTGGACGTTTTACTACTTAACAACTAAAATAATTTCTGGACTTTGACCATGGAACTATTCCAGAGGCTGAATCATTGACCACTTGGGTATTGTGCAGATAGACTTGATTTTATCAAGGTCTGTTTTAGCAATATAGTGATACAGTATGAAAAGCTATGGAAATTTTGACACTTGATTAGGTAAACGAGCAAGGGACTTGTAATATTTACAACCAAGTCTTCAAGTCTGGGACTTTGCTTACCAGTTAGTTTAGATATTACATGTTTGACGATTGAAAGGAGCAATCAAATATTTTAAAGGAACCTGGATGGGTTGATTCCAAGGAAGTAATCTGAACCAGTGGTTTGAATAATGTAATTCCATTTTTTTGCCAATTTTCTTCTCTTTCGTCTTCTGAAGACTTTGATTCCTCCGTGGACAATAGCATGTTTCTGGTACCTCGTCCAAATTATTCATATGCTAACCTGACAGTGAGTGTCCCCAGACTGTTGACTCAGACTCACCGAACCGGTGGGCAACCTAGGTGTCAGGTTCGACTCGCAGCTGTCCTTCCTACCCCACAGTCCCTGACCAGGACTGCCTTCCTCCACCTGATTACACCAGTTCTAGCTAGGCTCCACTGGCTCCCTATTGCCAACCAATTCGATTTCAAGATCCTCACACACATTTTCAAATCCCCTCATGCCCTGGCACTTCCTGATCTCTCCAACCTGCTTACTCCCCAACCTGCTGCCTCTGCTCGACTGGCTCTGGCCTCCTCCATGTCCCTTGTGTCCTTCGTTCCATTATTTGTGGCTACGCTTTCAGTCCTGAAGCTCTGGAACATTCTTCCTCTATCCCTCCGCCTCGCCCCTTCCTTCCCCCATCTTCAGATCGTGCCTTCGACTGTGCCCACGGTCACCTCCCCCCACTCCTCCGTCACCGCTATCACCTGCTGTCCCTCCCCCAGCACGCTCCCCCGGCACCTTCTGTAATCACCCACTGTTGCCTTCTTTTGTCTTGCACCGACAACATCTCTGATCTCGGCATTTTCCACCCCCCACCTAAATTTTTCCTTTTTCTTTCTCCGCCCCCTTCTCCGCTTTTCCTTATAATCTGCTGTCTTCCAACATCCCTCAGTTCTGACAAAAGTTCTGACCTGAAATGTTAACTCATTTTCCTCTTTCCATAGATGCTGCCTGACCTGCTGAGTGGTCCCAGCGACTTCTGTTTTTATCTCAAATACTTTAACCCTGTACTGAATTCCAATTGTGAATAAGAAAGGATATAACTGGCTAGGGTTCTTGACACTGTCTCGTGCTCTCTGCTTGGCAGTGCCACAGGATGGATGTTTAATCAAGGGCAGAATTGAACTTGGTTGTGAAAACTGTTAGCAGCCTTTAAGTACTCACTGGCTAGGATCACATGAAGAATATTTGTGATGAGCTATCAGAGGGCCATTGAAGCCTGTAGAGCCACACTCCATCATAAGTTACTACCTTCAGGAGAGATGAGAGAAAATTGGATGAGAATTTGGGCATGGTTTTGCCCTGGCACTGGCGCACTGCTATCTTGTGCAATGGGTTGTCAAAAGGTGACCATGGGCAGTGAGTGTAAATATCTTATTTCCAGGGTGGCTTGATCCTGATCTTTTTCAGCGTCTACAGATGAACATTTTAAGAAAGAGTTCCTTTGTAGCGATCAAGATCAAATTGTCTTCCTCCCTTGATACTGAGGTTAATTGCAGAGCTCCACTGCTATTCCATCTGAGGTGGCTAACCGAGCACAAGCTAAGAATTGAATCTAGGTCATTCTGGGTTGTATGGGTCAATACATTGTACGTGGTGCATTTAGCATTAAATAATTGGGAGATGCCAGCATCTTGCTACCTGAGTCCATGTGCAATGTGTACTTCAGTGTGGCTGTGCTGTAATTGATTTGGTTCCATGAAGTCGATTTCACCCAATTTTTAAAATAAAAATGTATTGATATTGTCAAGTAGGAGCAGACACCTGCTGTCATCTGGCTGACGAGTGGTTGTTGACAAAAGAGGGAATGGGGAAAGCGAGATGAAATGGTTTGGGGTTGAAAAGTCTTGGCACACAGCAGAGCTCTGAAGTTTTGAGAAATTTGATAAAAACAACTGCTAACTTTACGTTAAATAAATTTGAGGGGGCTCCACGAGTAACAAATTCTCACGATATTGGTAAGTGTTCGAACAATCGCTATCCTCCCTTGAGGGTAAAGGAACTGTCTCATGTCGCACTCAGCAACACAAACAAAGGTTGCGGGTTCGAATACCAGTCTGCGTGCTGAGTCAGATCACACGCCTTGATTAAATCTCTAAAGAACCTCGTAAACAGCAGGCACTTTTACCGGTCATTAATTAAGAGAGGGGTGTAAAGTAATCTAGCGAGCCTTGGAGGAAATTGATCAGAACCACTTTGTGGAGTTTCTGGGGTCAATTATTTGAATGGGATTAATGTGAGTGAAGTAAGGGGGAAACGGGCCTGATTTCCGTGTACATTAATCCCTGGCTGAAATAGTGCTGTCGCTCATATTTGTTTCACAAGTTTATCTGAATCTTACGTTTTCCTATTGCTGTGTTTTCAGGCAGAAAAAGACCTTCAAGAATGCATCGGGTACGCTCTCCGCTGTTTGAGGAAACAGACATTATTCCCCTTAATATTCCCAAATCCTCGGAGGACTTATTGGTGCAGGGTGATGAGCTGTTGAGCATTATAGCTATTTATGAGGTGTTGAGTAATTTTGGAACAGTGTTGCGCCTTTCGCCTTTCCGATTTGAAGACTTTTGTGCTGCACTGGTGGGCCAGGAGCAGTGCACACTAGTTGCAGAGATGCACATTGCTTTACTGAAAGCAATTTTACGAGAAGAGGACTCCTCAAACACCAGCTTTGGTCCTGCTGACTTAAAAGACAGCGTGAATTCCACATTATACTTTATCGATGGGATGACGTGGCCAGAACTAGTACGGGTCTATTGCGAAAGTGACCGGGAATACCATCACGTACTGCCCTACCAAGGAGGGGATCAATATCCATACGGACCAATAGAAAACAAAATCAAAGTTCTCCAGTTTTTAGTGGATCAATTCCTGACAACGAACATTGCCCGTGAGGAGTTGATGTCTGAGGGGGTGATCCAGTACGATGACCACTGTCGGGTTTGCCACAAGCTGGGTGATCTGCTCTGCTGTGAAACCTGCTCAGCAGTGTACCATTTGGAATGTGTCAAACCACCACTCGAAGAAGTGCCAGAGGATGAGTGGCAGTGTGAGATCTGTGTGGCCCACAAGGTGCCTGGTGTATCTGATTGCTTGCCTGAAATCCAGAAAAGCAAGCCGTACATTCGCCACGAGCCTATAGGATACGACCGACACAGACGGAAATACTGGTTCCTTACAAGGAGGATTGTTATGTAAGTAAATTAGCTTAATTCTCGTGGTGTATGTCCTTGTTCTGATGAAAAGTAGTACCCCTATTTTGCCTCTGAGTTAAGTTACTCTGACCGTCATGTCTGCTTATTTTTGTTTAAAAAGATTCTCCAAATGGAGTTTGGGTTTGTGGGACCCAATTGTTTTTCAGTTGAATTGTTGTATGGATCAGTATTGATTTTCCCAAACAATCTTATTTTGCTCTTGAAAGGAAAGGGACTGGAGGGAATAATGGGGATTTTATCCAGAAATGTCATGCTCTCTTTGATGTGACTTGTCTTGCCTTTTGAAACGCATCAACACAATCAATTCCCATTTCACCATTTAAAATGCGTCTCTTTCACATAATTTCGAGGTCTTATGTAGTTGGCTATTCCTCCTGAAGACAAAGTCCATAAACTGCTCGATATATCAATACAGATGTATTGATATATCAATGTAAAAACAATCTAGCTAAACTTTATGCAGCCAGAGGAAGAGAATTCTAACAGTAAACCAGCCTGAAGTTTGAATTGGCAACTTCCTATCTGGGGGAGTTTAGGCCCAATGCTGCACCATGTCTGAGTAGCTGATACTGCACTAATTGGCAGTGAAAGGCTGTGAGCCCAATAAATGGATCAGGATTATTACTGTTCAGAACAGGGGGCGCCCGCGTTTTTGACAAATTAAAAATTACCTGATTCATTTACGTAGGGCCGGGCTGCTAGTTAGTTACCAGTTTCTTGGAGTTTGCATTGGAAGGAACGTCAACTAACACCATACACAACCCTAACTTCTGAACTCTGAAAGTTGTTATTGTAGTATTTTCAGAATTCTCCCTCATTTGAGAAGTGCTGATGCTTGAAGATATTGGGTTTTGAGTGTCTGGTGTTTAGTTTTTTTGCTACAGCTGTGCACAGTATTGCAATGGTATTATCGAACCATTGTTATTTCAGATAGTATTTGCAGTTCAATATTTGAAGAAGCTTTAATCCAGCTGCTTCTGTTGGAAGAATTGTTACAGAACATAGTTCAGCCTACCTGCTCTAATTAGTAAAATACTGTTAAGCAAACAGGATACTGGTGCGACAAGTGGGGATGACTTGAAAGTTAAAGCAGTGACGATATTTAGATCTTTATCTGCCTAATGTATAGATGTTGCCTTGATCTGAGTATTCACCTAACCTTTTGTATAAATTGATATTTTTGACTATTCCTATGAGAAATAGATTGATTGATCTATCTCCCTTATGCTGTACTCTATTCTTCCCCTCACATGAAATTGAAAAACAGTTATCAGTGAGAATCATTCCTCTTTTTAATGATAAATGTCCAGATTTGGCATAGCTACTAGGAGTAAAATAAACAGAGATCCCATGATAAGGAAAGCGCCAACTGTTACCCAGATTAATTGGATATTTATTTTGTGGCTCTATGTGAGACCATATAATCTTGTATTTTGATATAGCACCTTTCACATCAGTAGGATGTTTCAAAGTGCTTCACATGATTTTAGTGTGAAGTATAGTTACTTTTTTTTGTAAGTGAAAGCGGAACTCAATTTATGCACGACAATGTCTCACAAACAGCCATTATCAACCAAATCTATCTGGAATTGTGTTGGCCAGGACACCAGGAAAGACTTCTCTCCCCCCCCCCCCCCCCCAAGTGGTGCCTTGGGATCTTTAAGATCCACATGACAGATGGGACCCCAGTTTAAAGTTTCATTCAAAAGCATGGCACCTCCAACAATGCAACACTCGCCCAGCTCTGAGTATGAGCTTAAAGTCCCACGTTGGACTTCAATCCACAACCTTCTGACTCAGAGGCGAGGGTGCTATCACCTGAACCAGGCTGACTTCAACTTGGCAGAGGTTTGACATCCACTGCTGCCTGGCACAGCTCCCCCTACGAATTCCTAAAGGGGTGTAAATCAAGCCCTCTGGAGTGCGTTCTAAAACTAACACAGTTTCGGGTAAAGCAATGAGTCTCTTCATTGTTTCTGCTTTACTTGGAAATTGCTTAACAATTACCAAGTAAAGCTCTATGCTTCAAAACGGTTCAGAAAAATTCTTGCCAGGTACGAGAACAATATAGGTAGTTTTAACATTTAAAAGGCTTTCAAATTTAGCCCAGCCCAATGTAATTTACATGGCTATTTAATTTCGAACGGCTGTAGTTACGATAGAAAACTGAAATAGCTGCATGTAGGGGTAGAGCTCAACCCGGTGGATCAGTTTAGTTGACAGCTCAGAATAAAAGCTGTGTTTGGCATAACAATGTCTGAACTGTTTTTGTGCAGATTTTTGCCTTTCACAAATGCTATATTAATTCTGGAGTTTAAAATGGTAAACGTTGCGCAACTTGTTGCAGATTAGTCTATCTGCGTTGAGTATTTGTGAACAGGAGGCGAGTTCGACACTGAATTTGAAAAGTTGCATATTTTTAAAAATTAAAACGTGAGATCCTTGAACCTTTTATCAAAGACAAGTCTGTAAATTTTCATCAGAGTAACACAGGATGTTGTTCCGTGCGTAATTAGAGCTGTAAATGTGACCTAAGTGTACAATTGGGGTTTTAACCACAATTCTAGCTTGCCAGTACGCAGTTTTAAATCTCTTGATTTGAAATTGACAATATCAGCATGCCCCAAACCGTGCAAACTGTATTGCAAGGAGGAACATGGTATTACCTGGAGGGTGGGGAAGGTGTGAGGAAACAGTAGCAACGTTAGTTATAGAACCTTATCAACAACGTGATAAGGTGCTGTATCAAACGCAAGTATTATTATTTATATCAAGCTCCCCTACTCAACCCCGACTAGTTATTTTCTGTCAGTCAGAAGTACAAAAAACAGTCGTCTCATTTGGGTCTCGCTAACTTTGTCAGGTCATCCAGATCTGTGCTCATGGACCAAATTAAATAACTAGTTTTATACCTCAACTGGCCCATTTTATTACATAGTGCATAATTCCACAGCTGGAACATTTTTCCCGAAAGAGCAGTGGAAGCCAGGACTCTTGTTATTCTGGAAGGGTGAAATCAAATTAGTCAAAGGCCTTTCTTCATCCAAACCTCCCGAGTGACGTTTGTGATATCTTCCCAAGCCTGGGTTTCTCTATCAAAAAAACAAACAGTTATTTGTAACAAAGTCTCAAGCCCTGAATTAATCTCATTTCATTTGCAATGTTCTCGAGATGCTGCCTTTGTTGATGACTGATTCACGTTCCTCTAATGCAAGGGGCCATTGTTAATAAGTAAAAGCCATAGCAATAATTGTTGGCAGGCTGTCTGACCGTGGTGATGTTATAGTCGATCGAGTCCTCATCGTATGTCCCACACGTGCACTTTTCACCAGGGGCCGAAATTTCTCTCCCTCCCATGAATTTCCATCTATGCCTAATGTTTGGAAGATGTAGTTTGCTTTATAAACTGGCTTAAATTGTCAACCCCACAAAGCTCATCTGTTACCGGTTTGCAAACTGGATTGCTGCTTCCAAACTACATGGTCGAGGAAAAAACCCTGCTGAACTTTGTTGCTCCCAGTGTGGGCATGTCCCAAATGGCATCAGTGGACTGTCAACCACCTAACTGACAGAGAAGGTAGTCCACTGTTGGCTGCAGTACAGTGCTCTTTATAGGTAGCAGTTTTTTTAGAGCAAAAAAATAATTATTAAGATGCAAAGGAATATGTTCTTCATCAAGGCTTTCATCTACACTAATGTGTTCCTCCAATTTACTGTACAAGCTGCCAACAAAGGGTTCTCTGTATTGTTGTATTCCTCTAAGTAATAATAGGGTAAATTATTTTACTTGCAATGGACCGTTTCCAAAAATTGAGGTATTTATGTTAACAATGCATACAGTTGCAAAACAAAATCCTTGGTACACCAAATGTCACAACAAGTATAAGAGGCTTTATTTAAAATATAGTTAATTTGGTTTATTAAGCACATTGATTCTGTTTTCCATCTATTGAGAAAGTTAGATGAGGGGCCCAAGGTCTATATGGCCATACTTTCTAATTGTGGCAGTTTAATAAATGTATAATGCACGATTGAAGACATCATCAGCGATGGAGACTGTGAACGGTAACCCTGTGGGTGGGTGCTTATTGGGTTCGGGGCAGAGAAAGAAAAGATAGCATGAGGACTGAAAAGCTCAGTATTGGTGCAGTGGCACAATTTGGCAGTCTGGATGCTAATGTGCAATATTTCCTGTGGAGGAGCACACTGACTATCCTTGTTCAAGTTTCAGCAGAGCAGCTCCAGCTGAGTAGAGAATTGGAATGCAGTATATTTTTGCTAAGCTTCTGGCTTCCTCCACCGCCCGCCCCCCCCAAAAAAAAGGTCTAATTTCTGGAATACTTCATGTCCAAAGTTCTATGCTATTTGGATTTGTGATCGAAACTTGTTTTCTGAAGTGGTTCAAGATTGGTACCTATACTCAGTCATTCATGACTTGTGTTTTGTTGGGGGGTGGAGGAGATGGGTGGAAGAGGAGGTCTGATGAAAGCTTCATTGAAGTGTCGCAAAGATGGAACAAAATGTAAAAACGCACTATATAATTCTCTGCTGTAAATAGATGCATCTCGGTTACTGGATTGCTTGAGGTTGCATTGATGCTCCTTAAAAGCATTGTTAAGATGATGCCGAGTGCTGTTTTGTTCTAATCAATGTGGTTATGAAAAAGACTACTGGAGCATTGGAAAGGAGTCAGAGATGACACTGTCTTAAAATAATGAAAAGAGCTTGGAGGAGTTGTGTATGTTTGGGAAGAGGAAAAAAACATGAACAGGATCCAAACTGTTTGGATGAGAAATGGAATAAATTGGTACTGGAAGAAGGCTCACCAATTCGATCTTAAATTTTGGATTATGCTGCCATCTGGTGCAGTGAATGCAGATTTGATCATATCATTTCATAAAAAGAAATGGGGACTGGAGATCTCTAGTGGGATAATAGCGACCCTCGTTTAGGAGGTGAAAATTCAGCATGGCTTGTCTTTGGTAATCAGTATGCAAACAGGGATTGAATCTGGCATGCTCCTGGTCTGTATAGCTTCGTTCCACACAGTGTGATACATTGATCAATTGGGCCACTTGAGGAGTTGAGAGACGGGGAAATATTTAATCATTTTTGTCGTTTGAGTAAAATAAAAACATGTGTGCCTTTGAGCGTCCTCCCGACGTGAAAGGGGTTCTATAAATGTAATTTTGTTGTTGTTTGAGGTCACTACTTATTTTGTACTGATATTATTTCTCTTCTTGCTTGGCTTCCACAGTATTTAGTAACAACAGCCTGAAATCAGAGTTGTTTACAAAGCTTGGTCTCTTTTGCTTTTCAGTGAGGAAGATGAAGATGAGACGGATAAGAGAGTGTGGTACTACAGCTCAAAGATGCAGTTGGCTGAGCTCATTGAAAGCCTTGACAAAGAATACTGGGAATATGACCTCTGCAAGATACTTGAGGAAATGCGGGATGAAATACATCGGCACATGGACGCTACTGAGGACCTCACCAATAAAGTTCGTGGCAATAACAGATCTTGTCTAAGTGCAATTAATGGTAAGTTGATACAAAGAGATCTAATGACATGTGGCAAGACGCTTTTGTAGATATGATGAGAATGCTTGACGGTGGTTTATTATGGCACCTCTTACAGGAGTAAGAGTAAGGCTTCTGAGGCAACTTTGTTTTTTTTCCATTGAAGTACGGAAGAGTGGCTGCAGTAGTAACGGTGGGATTCAAAACCATTCTCCTGAAGGCACTGTTGTTCTATTTCCCAGAATAAAAAGAGGATGGTCTGTTTTGTTCTTTAATAAAGGTGTGTTCCATGGTTTCTGAAGGAATCCAGTGACTTGCGAACGGCAAAGTTCTTGCAACAAAGGTTCCAGGGATTTTTTTGTGTCAAAATTTCCATTGTTTTTAATGGCTTATCACCGGGTATTGTGTTACCCTGTCTTATTTCAACACCATTTTGGCCACCACAGTCAGTTTCACAGCCAGCAAATTCACGAAACTTTGAGGTTAGCAGTTTATAATGCAAAGTGAGCAAATGGTAGAACTAGCACATATTTTAATTATCTTTATCCAATATGTGATGTGTTGTTGAATGACAAGTGTACACTTTAAATGTTCAAGCATCTGGGGTCTCTACACGTTAAGCTGCTTCTCTGGATCAATTTTGATTAGGTATTTAGACTTTTAATTCTTAACATTTCTGCGCGGGTTTAATGGTTGAATGCATCGGTGTCATAGAACACTTAACCCTTAGAGTCTGGTAGATCTACAGACACTCCTGACTCTGGGCCAATCAATTCTGTACTTGGTATTCTGTAAATAAATTCAGTAGTAAAGCTGTTCAAACTGGACAGATTTACTCTGCAATACCTCAAAAAGGTTGTAAGAAAACAATCTGCTCACTTGGTAATTTTTTTCCTTTGATTTTTCTCCTTCTCATATTCTCTGTCTTTCATTCATTTCAACTAATTTTACTCTTTAAACTACCCTAACTTTGTTTTGTAGGTGTTTTGCATTGCCTGAAAAAAGGCTTGTTTAAATATAAATAAATAAACAGTTTTGTAGTCAATAAAAGGCTGAATGACTGAAGATTGAACAATCCTCAACAGAAATGCAACTGTTAATTCAGTGCATCTTTTGTATTGTTAAAGGGTGAAGTGGGTGCTGCGATTGAGTAAACTTGTCATTGCCTCCCAAGATACAAGCAGCACCCAGAGCAGTGAATACACTTCACACTCGGGGTTAATGCCCAAAGAAGCATTTGTACAGAATTTTGCCCATATTGCTAATTATTTTCTAAATAGTACTAGCTTAGTTCCAGCATATTCATAGGTATGTTTTTACGAGAGCTGTAAATGATTCAAGTGAATAATACTATGTGACAAAGTCATGTTCTGTTAATCTTTTATACAAAATTTGCCCCTTTTGATTCGCTGTCCTACATATGATTTTGACGTGGACTGGATGTGGTTGCTTTGTTGACCACTTTTTGCATTTTACTATGGTCTGTGGTATGTCATATGGCATTTAGTGACTAGGCAAACCTGAGTGCAGACCTTTGCCAATACCCAACCACAACCAGCTGCTGGCTTTCTGCTAGTTTTGTTTTCCCTTTGCAAAACCCTGACTTGTGCCGAGACACAGTTCCACGGAGCTGCCAGGCAGACCCCTGGCCTTTACGTAAGCCTAGACTGAGAACACCAACAAGGCCGATGAGTTGTCACTGCCAAACCTGCTCATGTTCTCACCCAAGGTCTGCATTTGCAACAGAGATCACTGGGTAGTAATTGGGAGCAGGAGTTTCCCCTTCAAGACCAACAACATAGAGACTGATGTTGTAACTCAATTGCTGCCTCAGCTAACTCAACCCATATTAAAAATTGAGCTAGAGGCTTTATGTGTCTATTGCTGTTTCATATTAGTGAGTGCCTTTACCGACTCAGCCTTCAAAGTTCGAGTTCCTGACTTGTATGTTTTATTGTTGCCCAACACAATTTGGCATCTCGCTGTGTGGAGAGTCCAGGGGAAAGAACCTGTATTCTTTTGAACCTCAAGCTTCACGAACGGGGCCGCATTTTTTTTGTCTGTTAATTATTTTTAGTCTGTGGAATTATTTGCTCATCATACGTTCCTCCAGGAAAGTATCCAGCAGTATATTTTTAATTGGAGAACAGAAAATGTACACATGGCTTCTCATAACAATGTCTAGTGAACACTGATTAATGACTGGTCTGTAGTCATAATACCAAAAGCAAGTTTTACAAGGGGCGTGTTATGTGGGTGTTTCCTGCATTAAATAGGAATCATTTACCAATACTTGTGGCAGTAGAATTAGTGGTAGATTGTGCAATAATACATTGGGCCTTGTTCGACAGCTTTTTCTCCTTTGCCAGCCACCAGAAAGACATGAGACACAAAAACACTGCAATTAATGCCACTTGTTGGACAAGGTTATTTCATGCTGGGTAATCTAGTGGCAGAGTTTGCTTTTCTGACTTCCTGTAATGCTCCCATCAAGCAAATGGATGAACCTTGACTAAATCAGGTGATGAAAGCACTTGCAGCGATGTGGTGCAATGGGACAAACTGCCCTGATTGTGGCTAATCGTCAAGTTCTGAATGTAACTGCCCTCAACCAACCTGTTTTCACATCCATTGAATACAATTTAAAGCAGCAGCACAGTTGGTGCAAACAAATGTCGACGACAACAGATTACATTTTATAGAGCCTTTCACGTCGGGAGGATGTCCCAAGGCACTGGACATTGAAGGATTTGAACCTGAGCTGGGGTTTGGGATCTGGAGGGTAGGAGGATGACCAAAGGCGTGCGAAGAACTCATTATTTTCCATAAACTTTCTATGTTAAAATGTGATGCTTGTGTGTGTGTTTTCCTGAATTGATGTTTGGTAGGATATTTCCTATTTTAAAAATAAGAAAAGAAGCTCTGGAAAATTGCACTTTCAAAGCCCCATAAGCTCCTTGGGATAGAATAGCACCGAACAGTCTTCCTAGGGTTAATGAGATGGGTTATATTCCTGTGGTATCAATGATGTATTGTGTATGGTTTGCTGTCTGTGGTCCTGCCCTGAATTATCTTTCACTGTCTTTATGGAGGAATATTTGAGCGTGTATTTTGTGGGGACAATGCTCAAATGGGTTTGTTACAAAATGTTGGGGATTCCCAATAAAACACAGAATCAGTGTAGTCGTGTTTGTTATAGCTGCTGAAGGGCAGGGCACTGCTGTGCTGTTTTTCCACTTATTTATTCATTACTTTTTTTGGCTGTGTTTCACACTTTTTCACACTTGCCTTCACTCCGTTTCTTAATTACTTTTCTTTCTCATCCTAATCTTCTCTCATTCCCCCCCCCCCCCCCTCTTAAAATAATAGATTTTTTGTAGGGTTTTTGCTATCTATAGCTCTTTTTCCCCCTCCCCTTACACTTAGGTTTTAACAGGTTGGGAGGATTGGTGAAAGCTTGTAAGCTGCTGCAAGATAGTATGGAACCTTACACTTCCACTCTTGTAGGCACATTGAGTAGCCTGCAAATCATGTTTATCACAATAAAACATTCAGTCAGGGGACTCTTGTCAAGTAGCACAAAACAGTGGCAACAACTCCTTATGATGAGGAGCAGAGGATTGGCTGAGGTTTTGCTTTCATTTCTGTCTCCTTTGTTACTATTCTTCTTCCCCCCCCCCCCCCATAAAAGCACGCAGCAGTGGATTTTTAAACTGATTTTTGGCACAAGTGAACTAGCAGGGTTATTTAGCTTTGAGTACTTTGATCAATAATGGATATAAAACTCAGCCTGAGGTGCTAACTACAAGAAAAACATATAGGAGCCTCTGAAGACATTAGAAAGCATTTCTGACTATTGCCAGCACTATTACAATGGTATTGAAATTCTCATTTTTTTCATTAAACTCCTGGAAACCAATACCCAGTGGAATTCCCTTATGCAGCAACAGCATTAACTTGTGTTTATAGAACGCAGAATGGGTGTCTCGAATCACTTGACGGAGATGATTGAAGCAGGAAGGATAATTGTAAGATATTGGAGTGAGGTATTCAAGAGGCACAATAAGTGAAAGGGCATAAAGATACTGGCTCCCAACTGGAGAAAGCCAAAACAGGTGTGTGTGTGTGGTTGGGGGGAAGGAGATGCATTTCAGGATTTTAATTGTTGCATTTATAGTCGTCAAGGAAATAAAACTGAACTTGGCCGTATGCAACACGTAATATTGGTATGGAAACGTCTGCCACAAAAATGAAGAAAATGTTAAAAATGTTGGCCGGTTTGGATTCAGATACTGCTTAGTGGTCAAACAGCACATAACTGTAACTGGCCCACTCCGATACGATGGGAATCTAACTGCAAAATAAAAGTTCCATTCATTTCTACTGAACCACCACAGCAAACGCAATAATACTCCCCCCACTGATGGATATTTTAATCTCTTTATATGGGTCAATTAATTTAATTGTTTCAGTGTTTCCACACATTTCAAATAAAACAAGAGGTGCATGAAGTAGTAATAGATTTGTGGCAAAGACAACATGTTGCTTATTCATGTGTAGGTAATGCACTTCATCAAGCACGCGGGTTGGTTATACTTTTTTCTGGGATGCCTCGCTTGGTCATATTGGAGACGTCACTAAAAGAAAGTAGTGCCTATTCGAGGCTCCACTATATTTTCCAGTGAACGAGCTTTCTCCACCTCCCACAGCCTTTTTTGTAAAACCAAGCTGACATGAATCTGGAGTAGCAATCAGTGTGATGTACGGGGTGGGAGTAACCTGAAAAGTGCTGACGCTGGTTTCAATGAGGAGTAGTCAGACACAAGAGGTGGGAAAAGTATCATCTTTCATGACTCAAGATTTTTTTAATGTATTTGTGTTCAGTTGAGGAAGGTTCTTGTTGACTAACTTGATGAATCCTGGTTGGGTTACAATGGGACCATATTACACTGCTGTAATCTGAGCTCTTTTAACATAAAAAAAATCCTTGTGGTTCTGTGTCTTGACTCATGCCCAACAGCGCAAAAGACCGACCGGTATGCTTGAATTTCTTAAGTGTGCAGTAATTCAATGAGCAAGAAGAACTCTTGAGGCATCTCAAAGATTGTTGTAATAAAAGTTGCAACTCGGTTAAACAGCTTCTCACTTGAACCTTTTTTATTCTGAATGTGGATTCCTCTTTCACTTTCTCCCCCCCAAAATAAAATGTCGAGTGAGAAATTAATTTCACTAAAGTGGATAACAGTAAATATACAATAATACAGTCAATCCTGGTAACTCAACCCTAGCTTAACTTGTCATTAGCACTTATGTCATTATGCTGCCAATATTTATTTATGTATTTATACACCTGCCTAACTCACCACTCCTGATAACTAGTCACTGAGGCCTCTTCCCCTGGGAGTGATGAGTTATCAGAAGTTTATTGTATCTAAGTAGCGCTTTTCACATAGAGTATCTCTAAACACTTTAGAAAATGAGACTGATGTGAAATAAAGTGAATAGCTCTGTAATGAGAACAAACAGTGCACGAGAAAGAATCTCATGAGAAGTTAAGACGGGGAGATAGATGGTTCTGTATACTCCTGCCTAAAACTGATATTGTATTACTGTACAACCAATACATACCCGTTTTAAAATGATCCTGTGTACATAAACTTCAGCTTTGGAATAAATATTAACCTGCTTGCGCGTGTACAGAACAAATAAGTGGCCAAGGACAGATCCCTGAGGAATTCTCAAACTGAGGCAGGTCAGATCCACAACCTGGAATACAACTTCTGATATTGATTGGAAAGATAGGAGGAAAATTGCTTTTATTTTACCAAGACCTCTGGCACAAGAAGTCTGAGACGGCAATTTGCAGCGATTCCCAAACACAGCATCTGTCAAGCAGCCTAATCCGTGTCTAAGTACATGTGAAAGTGGTTGAGCAGCGTAATAGCTGGAAATTAGACTGAAGCACCTTTTTAATTGGATCTTTCCTCTGGGGGAAAGAATATAATTGCTGATGTACATGTGTTTTGGTAACCTATAGTATATATGTAGGTTTGAGGAGTGAAGGCATATGAGTAATTAATGAATTAATCCTTGCATTTGATAAATGCTAATTGCGTTGAAATATCCCGAAGCGTTCCATATAATGATTTACTCTGGAGTGTAGTGACTGTTATATAGCGAAGCTCACAGCTAACTTGCCCCAGCAAAATCTCGTAAACCGTAATAAGATGAACGAGTGCCAGGCAAAGTTACATGTCAAACAGTGACGTGGAACTTGAACCCATAACTTTCTGACGCAGTGTTTGAGTGCCACTGAATCAAATTGTCTGTGTTACTCGGGTGGGGTGGGGAGGAAGGAGAAGAACAATATTAAGAGCTTGAGTCTAATTAGTATTGGGTGTTAGGCATTTTGGATGCCGCATGAAGTCTGCATTGAGCCAAAGATGACAAAGTTGACTACTTATGCTCTCCATTGAACGTGACCTGGCCAGTACATGCAGCTCCATTGTAGAATTTAGCTGGAAAATAGTCTGAACGGTATTTCTGAAGTACTGAAAACGAGTAATTGTTTATCACAATTTCTTTGGTAAGGGCCAGGCTCGAAACGTTAACCTGTTATTGTGTGTTTGATGTGCATTTTCATAATTCTCTCTGACTATATTATTGCTATTCTTCCACTTTCTCTCCTTGCCCCCTAAACCCCTATGTAATGCAGCTCTAAAACCAGACATTGGAGGGAGCTCCGACCTGGGCTCTTCTAGTTTTCATCATTTTGTCACCCCAAGTACCTGGATACGTTTGGGAATATGGTAGTTGGAAGGGAGGGTGCTTTTGAGTGCTTTAGCAAGATGTCCCATTACACTATCTAGGCACAAGAGGCTTAAAATTCCACCTTGTGCTAGCTTGCAAGACCACATTGACCATGTTGTCCAAAAACTTGAAATTATGTAGAACCATGGAAATTCTTAAATTCAGTCTTCAGACAGTTTTGGATGCAATTTTTCCTTTGTTCTTCAAAAGAATTGCCTTCCAAATTGTAATCTTTTCTATTAATTGATGTTTAGCATCAAATGCTGGAGATCATGTTCTTATTACGTGAGGAACCGTAACAACCGTTTGCGTTCTTTACCTCAGAGGAGATTCTGGAGCGGCAGAAAGCAAAACAAGAAGTGGAGATGGAGGAGATCAAACGAAAAGCAGCAGAAGAGATGGAAAAAGCCAGGAAAGATGCTGTGGACAATGGCCAAGTGGAGCCTGAAACAAGCGAGAAAATATCAGAAGAGCAATCTGAGGACAAGGATAAGATGCAGACTGATGAACATCCTCAGAAGGAAGGCACGGAAGGTAAATGGTGCTTAGAAACCTTGAAGCTGGACAAAGCTATTGATCAGCTAGGATTTTAAATTACTTCACAGCCTTCTAGATTTCAAGAAATTATGATTGCATGAAAATTTCTGTCCTTGATCTTAAATGTCTTGCAACCAAATATCCTACTGCAGAATCTTCACATCAGACTTAAGATTTGAAACCAGGTTACAGTTGTTATGCTGCTGTTAGTTTTGAATTTTATCTACATAGCCGTTTTAAAAGCCAGTACTGGAGTCAGGAAGGAATCAGAAGTTTCTTACTCAAATTACAGAAAGAATTTACATCGTTACCTTTTTGTAATTGAAGTTGAAAATCACATCCGAGGCATTGAGCCTGGAGTTGAATTTAATATTTTAATTTGTTTGCTTTGTGGAACCATGAAGCTGAAGCTTTCATTCGTGTACGGCAACGTAAATACAGTATATATCATGCCAACCAGTTGCTAAATGGGAATACGGTGGTGCATTAAACTGAGTGCCAGCCTAAGGAAAATGGGCACTCCTATCAAAGTGCACCCTGTCACTGCTTGAACCAGATTTAAACAGTTATAAATCAATGAAAAGCTGTTTTAAAGTTAGTTTTATGCACTGTTCCAAGGTCGACATGTTAGCAGGATGAAGTGCATGTAACCCATTGTTTTTATGTACATTTTAATTACCCATTTGCCCTCTTTCCTTGCATTATAAGGTGGCATGCCCGATACTCGTTTCTTGTCAGATGTTTTGTTCAAGTATGACACTGACTTGTGTAAAAATTCTTGCTGTTTTAAAATACAGCCAGGGACCTATTCAAAAGATAGTCCTTGTGTTCTGCGTTTCACTGTAGACTCCCCGCCTAGCGGAGATAACCATAACTCTGAAAGCTCAGACACATCCAAGGCTGATGGCAGGGGCCAAAATCCTACTGCAGAGGAAAGTAGTCCTTCCCCAGGGAAGAGCACTGGAGCGGGTGAGGTGGCAGCTCCTGACCCCGAGCAGCTGGCAGAGGAGAAGAAACCGTCCGTCAAGTTGGATAGCACAGGTACACAGGGCCATTCATCACACCACTGTGAAGCATTGCAGTTCTTTGCTAGAAATGGATTGTTTTTTCGGAGAATGAACTGGCAGCTTTTAATATATGCAACCAGCAAGTCAATGTTCCAACGATTCCCATTATTTGAACTGAGCTTTTTTTTTCTGGTTGTAAGTGCATGGCAGACTCCATCTAGATATCTGCTTCTCTTGCCTGTTCAAACTGAGGTTGACATAGTTGTCTTTCTCTAAGTGAGAAAGTTCTATTAATTGTTTTGCCTTCCAGGGTACCAATGTTTATTCAATTTTTTCGATTTCTATAGAAAATGCAACGATTTCTACTGATGCCTCCACGTCCACTTCCACCACAACACCAACCACGTCACTGTCGCAGGTCACTGACGAAGGTGTTAATGATTTGCCCAGTGAGAAATCTACTCAGGATGCCAATACTAAGTCAGCTGAGGACACAGAGAATTTGGAAGGGTCCTCACAGTTTTCAGGGAATGATCAGGAAGACGCAGGTGAACTTCCTAACTCTTTATTTAACTTACTGATCTGATGGGTTCCAGTCTAGTTTCAAGCACGGGTTCTCTGTGTGGAACAAAGTCCTGACTAATCCTTATCCCTTTAAACCGGCATTTCTTTTATGAACCTTTCCCGTATTTCGTATCCTTCTCTGAACTAGTTGGAGCAGATTAATACTAAGCTATGCTGTTATTGCTTTGGGCATGCATTCACTGGGCACCAGATTTTCACTAGTTTAGTTTAATCTGGCAAGCGAAAGAGATGATGGAGTCCAGTTTCATAAGAACCAATCACTAAACCGTTAGCTTTAGTATCAAATTCTATTCTTTACAAGCTGTGTTCAAAACGTGCCGTCGGTTATTTATTCAATGATCACCTATTAAACCGCTTTTCCTTGTTCATTGCTCTCCCCAACTAATACAATCAGATGATAGTGTCAGTTCACACGACAGTTAGATGACTCGGTGAATCGTGTTGGAGGCAGAAAGCTCCGGAAAGTGTTAGCTGGGATATTTTGTGTATTTTTTTAAAAAAAACAAGTAAATAGGAGAAGGATTTTTATGAGGAGTTTGTTCAGACTTTAGAGGGGAAAGGCACTCAAGAGGCCCTTGAGATTTTATGTTTGTCATGTTTCATCTTTGACATCTATGCAGAACAAGACGATGACCAAACCAATGGAGAGAACGGTGATGCTTCCGGGGCTGGTAAAGGCTCGCTTTTCCCCACAAGAATGGTCACCAGGCTACGCAATCCTGAGAGCAAGTTGAGTCAGCTGAAGAGCGCGCAGGCGGCTGCTGCTGCTCAGGAGGCAAACAAATCATTCAAGGAAGGCCGAGAGGTGAGAGTCCAGCTTTTACTCTGCAGATGTACATTACAATCTTTAAATGGAATTCGAGCTGTGCAGACCGGTCGGTCACAATGTGTGTCACACTCACCAGTGAGAACTAGCACTCTGTGATCTACTTCTCGAATAGAGTTCCCATGGGGTGACTGCAGCTCTAATGGGATTTCCGTATTAAGCAATCCCCTTGAGAAGTAAGTAGTCCTTGCATTTGATATAACTAGCTCACATCGTCAAGACATCTCAAAGCGCTTCGCAGGTATACTGTAAAATGGATTGAATTCTGTACTGCCAAGGAATCTTCCGAAGGACGGCAACTCCGAAAATGCACCACATTCCCAGAGCTGCATTAGAGTGTCAGTTTAGTCTATGAAATCAGATTATGGCTTGAGCCCACAACCTTCTGATTCAAAGAGGCGAGAGTGTTACCACTGAGCGAGTACACACATGTGCCACAAGCTAGACCCATATTTGTACGGTACATTTTTAATTACTTTCATATTTGCCATATACGAATTTAATATGTATTCCAAAAATATAATGACCATGATTTCAATTACTTAGAGTGAGTGTGTTTCCTATTCATAGCTTCTACCTTAATACCACATATTTAAACAGTAGTTCAAATGTTACTTTAGTCTCATAAGCACCTCAAAGGTCACACAATTAATTGTTTTTTGTTTGAAGTGTGGTAACCATCAAGGACATCTGTTTTTCAGCTACTGGTGGTAAATTCACAAGGGGAAGTCTCTCGCCTAAGCGCAAGGAAAGACCTGTTGATAAAGGGTTCACTCAGTCACTTGTTTAAGTTGGGTCAAGAAGGAAAGTACCGTGTCTACCAAAACCAGTACAGTACTAGCACCCTGGCACTCAACAAGCATCAGCACAGAGAAGACCACGATAAACGGCGGCACCTGTCACACAAGTTCTGCATGACCCCTGCGGGCGACTTCAAGTGGAATGGTGCTGTGCATGGCTCAAAGGTTCTCACCATCTCTACTTTAAGACTGACCATCATTCAGCTCGAGAACAATATCCCATCCCCATTCCTGCACCCCAACTGGGCTTCACACAGGTATGTAGAATTGGCGTCTGCACTGCCAACAATTTTCAGGTAAATGGAAGCCCACACGTCCCTTGTTGTTCTTGTAATGCCAGGAGAAAAGCAGATTTACTCCTTTTTGTGAAGCAGGGCACACCTGATCTGTATTCTTCCATTCCACCTCAGATTGGGCAGCGATTGCCTTAATTTCAGAACTGCTAATGTGTAGGTTTCTGCTTGTGTAGAGCGCTGAAATCGGATATTGGTGACATTAACATTAGGCCATTAATAAAGTTATAGGGTTATGTATTTAATATAATGTTTCTTGTTAAATCCAATCACCATCTTTTGCCTTTAAATGCTTTAGATCTAACTGGATAAAAGCAGTCCAGATGTGCAGTAAGCCAAGAGAATTTGCACTAGCTCTTGCGATACTGGAGTGTGCAATCAAACCTGTCGTCATGCTTCCAGTCTGGCGGGAATCCTTGGGACATACCAGGTAATAATGCACTGAGACAAAAACTTCTACGTAGAATAGCCAAACTATTGAGTGGATTAGCATGTGGAATTGGAAGATTTCTCTGGCAAACGCTGAAGAGCTAACCATAATTGTTATGACAAGAATACAAGGTTCAAGTTTCCACTCCATATTAGACTTGTAGTCTAGGTTGAATTTTGTCCAAATATCTTAAAACCAGTTTAATTGGCTTGGAGACTCGGTATGAGCCTACAGTTTGTTCCTGAATGCTGAGATGTAGAATCTCCGTGTGACCACCCTCCAAAGAGCTCAGTTACACCCCATGGTTGGTGTGGGAAAGCATGCTTATTGTTCCTTCCCAGCTGGTTCATGGAAGCTCATGGAGAAATGCTTTCTTTGGGAGCCAAGGATTGAATAGAAGCAGATTGGTTAGAATGGGCACAATAATCTTAACCATGGCAGTGGGTATTGAACCCACTGCGAATATATTTCAAATTAATTTTAATGGATGGGGGGAAACTGAACCCAAGTCAGGTTGTACCCACATGAATGTTTTTCTGGAACGTTGGGTTAACTTGTTACTCTGACACATCAGGTTGCATCGACTAACCTCTGTTGAAAGAGAAGAAAAAGAGAAAATCAAAAAACGAGAGCGAAAGCAGGAAGAAGAGGAGGTTATGCAACAGGCTACCTGGGTGAAGTATACCTTCCCAGTGAAACATCAGGTGAGCCAACGAACAACAACTTGCATTTGTATAGCGCCCCTCACGGAGGGTAGCGTCCCAGAGCCCTTGACAGTGGTGGAGCACGAGGCCGAGCCAGGGGGAGGGGGAGGTGACTGTGGGCACGGTCGAATAGTAAAGTCTTCAGGCACGACCCTGAAGATTGGGAAAGATCGAGCAAGCAGAAACATTGAGGAAGAGTGTTCGAGTTTCGGGTTGTAGTGGCTTAAAGCACGGCCATTAATGGTGGAACTGTAGGCAAGGCTTGGCTATAACATTGCAATTGCTGTTGGAAATGCCTATATATTTTTTTCTCGCAATGATAGGACTGCTTGGCTCTGAATTTGAGTACTTGAATGTGTCTCATCAGTGCGTCTCATTTGGATGAACTTCTTTCAGTTGGGTAATTTGGAATTTTGCCCATTGAAAGGAGTGCCCTGTAGAAGCAAGCCCCTCCTCTGATTACTGAGCTTGATCATTGAGCTGCATTAATGAGTGTGGTGAATCCAAATCTTGACAAAAATGATTCCTGAGATGCACTGCATGTACCACTATGTCAGGTGATCTCACTATTTTAGCTAAGAGGAATGGATGCATCAAATGGCAAAGTTGATTTAAATCCAACTTCTTGTTCCTGTAGGTTTGGAAACAAAAGGGGGAAGAATATAGAGTAACAGGATACGGAGGCTGGATGTGGATTAGCAATACTCATATCTATCGTTTTGAACCCCGACTTCCTGGAAACACCAATATAAATTATAGGAAAGTGTTAGACAGTAAGTGTTCATTTCAATCATTGAGTGGATCGTTTGGCTGTATATTAAGTACACCATAAATACCTTGTGAAGATGCTGATATCTTGCTCACATTGTAAAAAGGATTAACTAACATAACTTCAGAACTTCAATTGTATGATATAAGTAACGTAAAATATTAAATAAAATGTAGAAAAATCCAGAACAGATCAGCCAGCTTCTGGAAGTGAAAAATAAGCATAAGATTTTCGCCTTACTGAAAGCTCTCACCTGAAGCCGGTTCTTTCAGGTGCTGATTGAAGTGCTGCCAATTTTTGGCCATTTTACATTCTGTTTTTTGCACATTTTAAATTGCGAAATGTTGCTTTATAAGGTGCAGAAGGAAATACTGAGGACGGTTTGGATCAGAGTAAAGGTGAGAGCTCCTCTAAAGTGAAAGCAGAGGCTGAAACTGGTGACAAACAGCATTTTTCCCAAGAGTGCAAGGATTCACCAGAGGCTGACCGAGTCACAGACAAGTACTTTGAGACAAAGCTAGAAGGTGATGATGAAACAGTGGAAGAAAAGGAGGAAATCATGGACCTCGATATAAATCCCACCACATCGCAACAGGCTGAAGGCGAAGGTAACTGTCAATCCTATAAGTGTGGATTACGTTAGGTTATAGAGACACCAGGTCCACACTATATTACTTAAATGTCGCTGAAGCGCTTGAGCCATCTGTATATTAAAAAGTTTTTCTTTAGTGCAAATGTTCCTAAAAATTATTCTTTTGAGTCTTCTTTCCGTTCATTGTTTGTGGGACTTTGTTGGTGCAAAAATGGTGCTGAGTTTGCCAACAAATAATCATAATCCTTGCATTTGATACAGCGCCTTATCATGACTTCGAGACATCTCAAAGTGCTTCACAGAATATACTGTAAAGTGAATTGACTGCATATTTGTGGGCGAACAGCATTACGAAATACGCTTGATGCTAATTACCTGCCAAGCTGTTTGAGGCATGTTGATGTGTTATAAAGTTTTATAACGGTTCTTTTTGGGCAGAGATTTGTTAACTGCACTACTTTTATATTTAGGGAGCGCTGAAGGTGAGAAGGTAATAAAGGATGAGCCGATGGATGTCGATGAGATCAAAAATGAATCCGTCTCGAAAGATGACGAAAAGTATGTCTCAGCTGAACTGATCAATGTAAGCGAGGGCTTCCAGCAAAGGACTTGGTACAAAAAAATGGTAAAACCCTCCAAACTCGATGGCCTGTTGGATCGCAGGGTAAAGCAGTTTACACTGGAAGAGAAACAGAGGCAGGAGAAACTGAGACAGGAAGCCTTAAAGATTCAGTCCGTGAATCAGCAGAAGAGCGTAACTGAGCCAAAGATGCCCGTTTGTAAGGACAAACCTGCGGCTCCCATTCAAAATAAGTCTGAATCTGATACACAACAAAAGGGCCAGTTGAGGATCAAAGGTCTGTAAAGACCACTGTCGACAGCCCAGTAGCCTCATCTCAGGAAAAATCTGGAGATTTGGCTCAACAAAAGGATCAGGTTGTTGCTACGTTAAAAGAACCGAGTGTTGATGAGGCAGAATCTGCCCGGACAGACACTAAGGCCAAGGCTGAAAATAATCTAGAATCAGTAGACATGGGTGATGAAACCAAGAACGTGGATTTAAAAAGCAAGGAGAACGGCGCCTTAGGTGACACTCAGACAGCGGTGGTGAAAGAAGGCTGCGTGAACAGTACTTGTGATGAGGCGAATGATGGACTTGGGAAGAGTTCTGAGCCGTTAGTTGAAAACAAAACGGACAGTGACCTGAGTGTGAACAAGAAGGTTGAGGTGGATGTTGCTGAAGATCGGTGTGACCCGTTGGCAGCCGATGCGACGAGTGAAAACTCTAACTCTGAGCACAAGACCGACGAAAGCATCGAAAATGTATGTTCAGAAAAGGTGCCCACGAAAGCTGCCCAAGATATAGCAGAAAACCGCTGCGAGCCCATAACCCTTGAGGAAAACGGAGTGAAAGAAAGCTGCGTCCACAAGGAAAGCAACAGCATCGAGGATAAGAGGAATGTCGAGGACGCTGCGGAAAATAAGATTCCTGAAACTGAGACCAAAATGGAGAACCAGCACCCTATTGATCAGGTTAATGGAAAGGAAGTGGAATCTAAATCTGCTCCTGCGTTGGAAAACTCTGAACTCGTGCCGTCTGAACCGCCAGACGAGCCAGCCGCTGTTAATAACCTGGAGCCTCTGAAGGAAAAGGCCGGCCCCAAAGTCGATTCGGAAAATGAACTCCCCGAAGTCTCGCCCAGAGATCCCCCCGTTAAATTGGTTATGAATGGAGATATTACGATGGATAACCTCGAAGAGAAACCGAATCGAATAGAAGGGAAATTGTTACCAACTGCTCCTCCAAAGGTTCTTGTTGACGGTGTTAGGAGGGACAAAGAGGATGCGAAGGAGGAGGATGCAGTCCCACCAGTTAAAGCAGCCAAACTAGAGAACAATGTCTCCCAAGTAGTCAATTTTACCGAAGGATCAGGCGTTTCAAACACGGCCTCGGATGCCCCTGAGATGCCAAGTGGAGTTAGGAATGAAGCGAAATGTATGGAAGTAGATGGACCAGTGCCTAAGAAAACTCCTCATCTTCCTCCCCCTCTTTCTGCAGTAGACTCCAGCGTAAGCAAAGACTTCAGCGGACAAAACGGTATGCAGTCTAAAAGTGAAGTCAGTGGGATCAATGGAGTTCACGACACAAACACGGTCATTACTAAAATGACCACGACAACGACGACTGTGTCCACAGAATCGAAGACTGTGGTTAGCGTAGCCAGTGTTTCTGCTTGCCAGAGCAGCCTTCCCTCTGTGGTGTCCTCGAGTAAAAACTGTGCCGTCTCTTCAACCACCACCACCACTACAGTCATGAAAGTGAGCTCGCCAAAGCCGGACAGTGCAGCGGATGGCTTGACGGTCACTAAAAAGACTGTTGTTACAACCACTGTGACTGACTCCACCAGTACTCCAAGGAGACCCTAACCACCACAATGACAGTGAGCAAGGAATATTCCACCAAGGACAAGGTTAAATTGATGCGGTTTTGTCGGCCCAAAAAGACTAGATCTGGCACGGCCCTGCCTTCGTACCGTAAATTTGTCACCAAAAACAGTAAGAAAAGCATATTTGTTTTGCCAAACGATGATCTGCGGAAGCTGGCGAGGCAATCGGGCATTCGCGAGGTCTCGGGATTTAACTATAACGCAAAGCCTGCAGTGGACATCTGGCCTTACCCATCGCCGAGACCAACGTTTGGCATTGCATGGAGGTATTGTATGTCCATAATGCCAGGCAGTTCTAAGGCTGTATTTTAGATGTGTTTTTCACTTTATTTTCCCTCCCTCACCTCAAGGAATACAGAATGTCGGTGATCTGTCATGGGACTATGGAATCTTATCTATCAGTCTGCATCACATAAGTAACTAATCCCCAGGTCCCAATTTTGCTAATTTATGTGATGCACTCATTTTGTACCTCATCAACTCTGCCTGAATTTAATCGTTTTTTTCAGTGTGTCTCAGTAATTCCTCCAAGTAAGTATTTGCTTCCAGTATCCTCCGGTTTCCTGTTGAAAACAATTCCTTGACACACGTTAGCAATAAAGGGGCAGACTTTCTGGCACTGAAAGAATACCTAACACTGTTGCACTGGGGTTATTATTGTGAGGTTATATTTAAGAAACAATGATGAAGGTGAGACGGGGAGCTGTGATCTTGTTGACTTGTCATTCGTCACCGTAATGAACGACAAATAAATTACTCAACCGCCCAAAAAACAACTCCCTGTTTGCACTTGGAATAATTTGTGCTGCTTTCTGTAACCTTTGGATACTGTAACTTCATACATAAGCTGAAGTGCAACTGAGTAGTGTAAAATTGTTTCGAGAGAATTCCTTGCTCGTGTGTGCTTGGCAATTGATCCATTAGCTTATGAATTCTTAAAACTATTTCCCTGCTGAAGGAGCTGGAGTGATTAGTGTAAAACAAGAGTGACTGGGCTTCAACTTTTATAAACCAATTCCACAAGAAGGCAGACTTCAAATTTGGATTAGATAGACCGATATTTTCCACGGTCACTCTATTGCTTTCTCTCCTCTCCATCTCTCTCACATACACATGCATACATATACACACACACGCATACACAACACAAAAAAAATTACTGAACTCAAATGACTGTTCTTGCTTGAGTCAGAGTAGCAGTCTATGGCCATGAGGGATGTCACAGCCAAGCCTGATGATGTCCTTGGCTAACATTGCGATGCGACTCTTTCTGATCGACTCCGTCCAATCCTCTAATCCCTCTTCCAAGTTTCCTTGTAAAAGAACAAACTTGGTTCAGATAATGTCACTTAACCTTTTTTTTTCTGTTCAAGTTTAGTTCATGTCAAATTTATATTTAAGAAAAATTCTGATTTCTCGAAGCCGATTGACAGTGATAAGCGCCTTGGGACAGCACCCCAACGTGAAAGGTGCTATCTATACAAATGTAATTTGTTGTTGATAATTGCTGCTTTTTTAAAAAAAAACAACAATCTTTGCCTAGGTATCGACTGCAGACTGTGAAATCTTTGGCGGGAGTCAGTCTTATGTTGCGGTTATTATGGGCTTGCTTGCGATGGGATGACATGGGAGTCAAACCACCGTCAGGAGTCAGCACGACACGTACAGGTAAGTTCAGCACAAAGGTATTGCTGATTCGTGCATAACAATGAGTTCCTCAAAAGTGTCAGTCAGAGAGGCAGCGCCAACAATTGTTGCATGATCTCTTGGCCCCAAATTTTAGAAGCTTGTCAAGTCCTTTAGCACTTAAAGCTGCTTTTCCATAACATGATTGGCCGTTTCATCACTTTTGAAAAATCAATAACTGAAATAATGGATTATGCAATAAAAGTGAAATGGAAACTTGTACAAGTTGTTGACGTTGAGAGAAATTGTTAGGAATGAATGTGGTAGAATTGTGTTTTTACAATAATTGGCGCAGTTTTCATTAATTGTGAATGAATTGCCATTAATGGGAAGGGCTGCAGTCCGATATGTATTCTCAAATCACAAAATACTTCCAGTGTTTGTGAACATAGCGAGTGACACGAAAGAAAATTACATACACGCGATTTAACTTGACTACTGTATTCTTTAACTGTCCAGAGTCTGTGCTTGATGAGTCTTCTCACTGTAGAAAGCAAGTGTCCAGTTAATGCTACACAGATAACCTCTATATTCTTCCTTTGTTTGGCATTGCAGAAACTACAGATATAGATATCACCACCACGGAGATTATTAAGCGAAGAGATGTTGGCCCCTATGGAATTCGTTCTGAATACTGCATTCGGAAAATTATCTGCCCCATTGGTGTTCCTGAAACTCCAAAAGGTAAGCATGTATTGCGAAATGCTTTAAATCTGAATTGTGATGTGTGTAGGATATGACATCTGATTGAAATTCCTGACTTTATTTTCTTCTATGTGCAAATGTCTATTAATCACATCAGCCCAGGAATAAATTGAGGAAAGTGCATTAAACTTGATTGAGAATGTTCTTTGGATCCAAGAGAAGCATTGAAGGCCATGCATATCTTTTTCTTTAAGAAATAATTGACTAACTGATTAATTACTGTTTTTCTTTCTTTAGAAACCCCAACACCACAGAGGAAAGGTCTTCGATCAAGTGCTTTAAGGCCAAAGAAACCTGAGGCCCCAAAGCAGACTGGCCCTGTTATAATTGAGACCTGGGTGCCAGAAGAAGAGCTGGACTTGTGGGAAATACGCACTTTTGCAGAGAGGTACATGGACCTGGCTAACGCCACGCACTTAACGGTGGTCGACAGAATCTGGTTGACTTTAATTTTTATTGCAAAATTATTATTAGAATATTTCCTGCTGCTTCTTGTGACCAATTATGGCAGTTGAGGGACAGGAGGGAATATGGAAGCAGTGTTATTATAGCATTTCTTTGAGGAATTTGTGCACGAGTGTAGAATTCAGATGAAGTCTCAAGGAGTAAATCTGTTCAACCACCTTATTCAAGGTTACTCTCTGAAAGTAGGCTTTAGCAATGTCCTGTCATGTAAACTCAACAGATGTTTGAATTCCGCCTAATCTCTACATTTGCCCACGAAACTCACAGTCACTACATTTTAATGTATATACTTTGAAGCGCTTTGAGACATCCTCCCAATGTGAAAGGCGCTATATTAAATGTAGGGATTATTATTAATTCAGGGCACGTTTGTTTTAGTAAGCAAAAGAATGGTGATGTTTTTATATATATATATATATATATATAGTGCAATTACCTCAAATTGTATCTTTGTACGTTTCTTTTTTTAAAAAAATGCTTTGTGAGCGTGCGGACAACTTGTTTTCATGATACTTTGTGCTTTCCGGCTTGGTTTGGTCATGTTCTGTTGCCTTGCCTCTTGCAGAGTGGAGAAGGAGAAGGCACAAGCGGCTGAGCAACAAGCAAAGGTTAGTGAACTGAAGAAATCCGAAGAGTTCAAGGCCCAACTGGAGGCCCAGCTTAAGCAGCAGCGATTGGCTGCTCAACAGGTGCGAAGGCATGACGTATCCTAGCCCCACCTGTCATGTAGTCCTTTTTGTATGTTAGACTGCATAATTGCGATAATTTTTTATTGATATAACATTATTGTAAGCCGTGACAGAGCTCGCATGCTTTTTACATGAAATTAGTGGAAACGGTTTAAATCTATGCATAGCCAGGTTTGTCAGGCTGTCTGTAGCTGGGGGAGGGAGGGAAGATTTTTTCAGGAGAGACACCGAGACTTAAAAGCCACTGATGATTTTATACACTTGCTCTCAATTGGAAGTAGTGTAGGTTGTGTCCTCACTCCTGGAGGAACAGTCTGCAGATCATTAGATGTGGAAGTTTGTGACTGAAATGAGCTTTCAGCTGATGGGAGCCAGTCAGCGTTCTTTCCTCCAATCAGCTTAATACTTTCAATTATTTTATTACGCAATTCTTTCTTTGAAGAATGTTTTGCATTATTAAGTCCCTTCCTGCGTCACCCATTAGGGATTTATCTGGAAGAGCTGAATTTAATTTCCTTGGTGGACTCCAGAAATTCTAACCCAGTTACTGGTCTTGCAAGTGTTTTGCAAAATCCTTTTATTCACAAGGGAAAAGAACCTAACGCTCAATGTGATTAAATGATTGCCCTGAGCTAGTGAGGGGGAAACATACCAGGGTTTCCACTCCTGGTCGCTGTTTTAATACGTATCTTTAAAGCCAAATGTTTTAAAGAAGTACGGTAAATGTGCCTGACTACCACTTTCTATGGACAATGTGGTTGGTTTTACAGTTACAACACACACAACTGATGTGGGTGGGTTTATGTGGTTTTTTTTTTAACCATTAGCCAAACTCATGGTGTCCTTCCTTACCAAACAAAAATCATCTCATTTGACGAATCAAGTTCTGCTGCTCATTGATGTATCTCATGAAGCTGCAAAATAGAAGATTTGTTCCCAAAAGAAAACTTTTGTCATAAAGTGTTTAAATGAGCTATTTAGGTATTTTAAGTCATCCATTTGATGCCTGTAATTATAGGAGCAGGAAGAAGCCATTCAGTGCAGAGAGGCTGTTCGACCAAAGATTTGAGGGATTTGCATGCCACATTCCAGCTGTTCTGTAATTTGGATGTAGATGCGATGGGTTAATTGGAGAGCGGGGGGGAAAGGATAGCAAAATGTCACATTAACTATATTTCTTAAGGTACGGCAATATACAATCTTGTTTTGTTCTGTTACAGAAACGTCTTGAACAGCAAAAGCAATCTGCAGTGTCTAACTCTGTTACCACCACCTCCAGTACTGTTACCACACTTACCACCCCCCAGAAGTTGGTGGTTGGTTCCTTAACTGGGCAAGTCACCCCAGGAACAAAAGTGGTATTTACCACCAAAGTGGGCTCCCCAACCACAGTGACATTCCAGCCAAACAAGAACTTTCAACAGAGCTTTGCCACCTGGATCAAACAGGGCCAGGTTGGGCCAGGTATGTACATCGGTTGCATGTCGTATGTTGAGGCACTGCCTTATTATTACAGCATGCCATGGAAACGTGACCAGAAGTGGGAGCCAGACTGATGCCAGATGTGTTTGACCTAAGAAGTGTCATCCAGGGAAGGCACAGAGTAGAATTGAGATTCAGTGCATCTCTTTGGGAGAGAAAGTCTTAAGAGGAGAATAAAATGTAGGGGTGGAAGACTGTTAATTTATTATTCGTCTTAAGGATTTGATGTTCAAAATTGATCACTGCAACCCATTAGCATTAATGTGTGGTGAACATAATGAACTTGATACAATGCAGTATTCAGGAGGGATATTCTTTGAAATGTTCTGTGATAAAATAAACATGTGAGGTACAGGAGGCTTGTTACTTTTTTTTAATCCATTTTGTTCCTAAACGTGTAGTCTTGCCTGTTAGGCGAGCGTCAATCTCGCAAAAACTTTTTTTTTTCCCCTCAGTTAAATGCTACGCTCTTTTTTTTGTCGTAATTTTATGAGCACCACAGCTCGGTTTAATATAGGTGAGCCCTCAATGTCCTTTTGTCACTTGGTGGTTGAAATAAACTCAGGCCCCAGAAGCATTCACGAGAACAAAGTGAAGGAAACCCTAAGCGTTTTTTTATTATTCTTGCCTTGCTGTCCCCTTTTCTGCTAGTCACCAGCACAGTGGCAACGTCAGCCACAACCATTGCCACCACGGGCCAGACGTTCCAGATCACAGGCAGTCCAGTAACCATGACGGGCAAGGTGATCACTGCCAAACTTCCTCTCCCCGCAAACAGCAAAATCCTCACCGTCAACGTGCCAACCACACAAGGAGGTAGGGTGGAGAGGGTTTTTCATTCTCACCTTTGAGATAATAACATGTGAGGTACTGGAGGCTTGTTCATCAGAGTTTTGGGATCCCTTTTTGTTCCTAAACATGTCGTTTTGCCCATTAGACAAGCATCAATCTCAAAAACTGATTTCTCCCCCATCCCAGTTACATGCTTTGCTCTATTAATTTTTTTTGTCTCAATTTTATATTTAGCACCACAGCGGAGAGACCCTGGCAACTGTATGGTTTGAAGTGTGAGTGAGTCAGGCAGAGTGCTGGGGCTACGATTTGTTTCCCAAAATGTTGGACGTTAAAAGATGCCATGGCATTATTCAAAAAAAGAGAAGAGAGTTTGTTTGTACTGGCCAAAACACCCCCACCCCCCCATCCTGAAATAAAATTGGTCATTCACGTCATGGCGGTTTGTGGGTCGTGGCTGTGCGCAATTGTATCGCCGCGTTTTCCTACAAATACACAGTCACTCTATTTCACAATAATTCCTGTGAAGCACCTTGAGACGTCCTTCTGATGTGATAAGGCACCATACCAAATGCAAGGATTATTATTATTACTTGATTATTATATATAAGAATTGCAAATGAGCAATGGTGCCCATAGGCTCTTGTTACTAATGGGATGGTCTTAATGTGGCCTGTTGAGACACTGCTGCTCAAGATACCTGAATGGATAAAATGTCTAATGTTTAGAGCATTACTGATTACCTTTGTGTGCAGGCTGAATTTTGGGGTGGGGGGGGCGGGTGGTTCCATCATGTCCCTGAATTAGGAATGTTCCCTTTGACATTGTAAGGGGAACAGGATTTTTTGTATTAACTACACACTTGATCGCTGCAGCACTGGTTCTCTACCATGTCTGATATCGCTTTTTTCTGCTTCAGAAACTTGCCTCTTAGGCTCTTAACACTGCCACTCCTTGCACAGTGGTCCATTGTTAATGAAACAGCTGGATAGTCATGAAGCACGTGGAAGATATGGTGCATAAATCTAGTTTGTTACAAGGAGATGTTTGTGTTTAAATATAGAAATTACCTTCTTTGCAAGCCAAATAGGTTTTTAATCAGGCAGATCACTTTTCCCCCTCCCCTCCCTGCTCCTTCAGAGAAATTAGTTTGTAGACAGCTTTATCATTTATTATTATTTATAATTGTAGAAGGTGAAGAGCTATTCTGATGGGTGATGAATTACAGTGTGATTCTGGGACTGTAATAAACCAGGTTGAATCCTGGCCCTGTGCTAAGTGAGCGGATCTCAACCAGAGTGGGCAGTGAGATGTCACAGTTGGGCTCAGCATATTCAGACTGGAGAGGGCAAAGCAATCAGCCGGGGACCAACCTTTCCATCACTTTTTTTTAAAAGAAACGCTGAAATAATGGTCGTGAATGAATTGTAGTTTAGCACAGTCCTTTTGCCTGAGGTGTTGCTTAACCAAGAGAACTGAGGTTCACAGCTGACTTAAAGATCGTGATGTGCCAATATGTCCTAAGCTGTGCTGTCTGCCCTTGTGTATTGAAATGTGTTTCTCCTCCTTTAGGTGTAGTTCAGGTGCAACAGAAGGTTTTGGGAATCATTCCGTCAAGTGCGACTTCCAATCAGCAAACCTTTACTACATTCCAGCCAAGGGCCGCTACTGTAACACTCAGACAGAATGCGCCAGGCACCCTCGGTACAACTACCCAACAGGTCCAGGTATTTATTGGGTTTATTGCTATTTTATTAGATGGCCAAAGTATGATTTTGGATCCGTGTGCAAACTTTTTGTTGAAAACATTAGGGAAAAACGAATGCATTTGAGTGTCTTTTGTGAAGTAGAATGATAGTAACCATTATTTTTAATGCTAGGCTAACTTTGGTTAAAGCACCTGGCCGTAGCATAAAGCCTCCGCTCATAGTTGGCTATTTCCTTGGGTGGTTCAAGTTTGTCGAGTATTACTCATTGCTGTTGAGAAGTAATGTTTTATTTGGGACATGTTGACTTGGGGGAGGGGAGAGAGAGAGAGAGAGAGAGGAAAGAGAAGCAAAGCTTGTTAAGCAATGTTTCAGAGCTGCCAATTGCTTTGGGGGAGTTTGCAGTCCAATAGTCGAAAGAATGCTTGGGTGCAAACCCTCATTGACATCCTCCCAAGGCACTATGTAAATGTGAGTTGTTGTTGTTGTTTTGTAAATGCAATGTTTGTTGGTGGAGCGCATTGACATTCACGTTACCAGTTGCAAATGACAGTGTACGGGTGGTGTTCTCCTTGTGACAGGTTCTCACCACAACGGGAGCGACCCAGATCCGCCCCGGTGTTACGGTCATACGGGCGCCTTTCCAACAGACAATCGGAAAGACCATCATCCGGACGCCTTTGATGGTGCAGCAAGGTATTCTCCCAGCGAGTAGGTTTACTTTGTACTTTAACTTCCCCGTGTGTGATTGTGAGGTATCTTCCCATCCATCCATCCATCCCATCCCATCCATCAGACAGGTTGGAAAATACTTCTCCTTTCTGTGTTTTTCTTCCATCTTGTCCTCTACTAATGTTGCCTCACCGCATGTAAAGGGATCCTCCTAATGGATGTTATTTATGTCGTCCTGTCCCCCCAAACGTGTTGTGCTCTTCCTCTTCACCACCCACCAATTTCTATTTTGGTGTCCCACCTCTCAGCCCGGTCAGCGGAGGTATAAAAAGAATCGCATTTTTGTTCAGTGGTTTGAAGCAAATGAGCTAAAACGGTGACTTTCGCATCCAGGTCCCATCGTAATTATAATAATAATAATCCTTGCATTTGATACAGCACCTTATCACATCTTCAAGACGTCTCACAGAATACACTGTAAAGTGAATTGACTGTATTTATTGGGCGAAACGCGGCAGCCAATTGTGCACAGCAGCGTCCCACAAACAGACAGTCGTGGGTTGAGTTAATTTTTTTTTGTGTGGAAGGATGATTCCCTCCCCCCCCCCCCCCCACCCGGAAAGCGATTACAGGCATTAATGTTGCTTTGTTTGTGTTCAGGTCAAGGCCAGCAAATGGTCACTCAGATTATCCGTGGGCAGCCAGTCACGACGAGTGCGGGAACACTGACTCCAAACCACAAAATGGTGGCTGCTTCAGGCACGACCACCCAACCAATCCAACCTCGGCTCGCCACGCTGCAGGGGCAGCAGCCAGCTCAGCGTCCACAGCAGGGGCAGGTCCGACTGACACTGGCACAGCTCACACAGCTCACACAGGGACAGGTAAACACGTCCCACCCGCCCAGGCTTCCGTTTCCAGATTAGAATCCTTCACCGCAACATGAACAAGTTGCGTTTACGTAGCAGCTTTCACATCGGGAGGACGTTCACCCGAGTTGGGGGTTGAGAGAGGCAAGGGAGGGGCAGAGGGTGCGGGCAGAAAGGTTGCGGGCCCGACCACTGATGGTGGAGGGGTCAGGATGGTGACCCTGTATAAAGCAGAGCCTCTCTTTGTGTAAACGTATTGCCCCAAGTCACTGCTTTACGTTTTACTCAACTGTAAAACACAAGTTTAAAATTAGGTTTCATCTGTTCATTGCAACACTGGGAGGCCATCCAGGAGGCGTTTAGGTGAAGTTGAGAATGTTTTCCCGTTGGCACTTATTGCACTATTTTCTTCTCCACATTGCAGAGTGGAGGCCAGGGACTGACTGTGGTGATTCAGGGGCAAGGACAAACTACTGGACAGTTGCAGCTTATCCCGCAAGGGGTATCAGTAATTCCTGGACCCGGACAGCAGCTCATGCAGGCTGCTATGCCAAACGGAAGTATACAAAGGTTCCTCTTCACGCCCCTACCAGCGGTTACCACAGCTCCAACGCCGACGACCATGGGTGAGATTTGCCTTTGATATGAAAAGTGCAGCCGTTGTAAAACGTGTTTGCATTTCCCTATCCTGAGTTGCATGAGTTCTCCAGTCAAGTGCGCCAGCAATACTCCCCACAAACAGCTGCCTTGAATCCCTTTTTTTTTTCCTTTTGTTCTGCAGCAACAACAGAACCGAAAGCAGTGCAGGTGCAAACGCAGCTGCACACGCCTCCAGCTCCGGTCTCGTCCCCCGTTCAGACTCCAGTAGCTGCCCAGCCACCAGCCTCCACACAGCCTGTCCCGATATTGCCAGCACAACCCCAGACAGTCGTCCAGGCGCAAATCCAAGCTCAAGTCCAGCCACAGGCCACCGTGGTCACAGCAGCTCAGGCTGTGCCACAGGTTACCGTGCCGTCTCCCGCACAGCCTCCGGCACAGGCCCCGCAACCTCAAGGCCAGGTTCAGACGACGGCCATTCAGATTCAGCCCCAGGTCCAAGTCCAGACTCAGATGGCCACCGTGCAAACTCACATCCAGCCCCAGCTCCCAGCAGGAGTGGTCCAGCAACAGATCCGGCTCCAGCTCCCGGTGCAGATCCAACAGCCGGGGGTGACACCAGTCCAGCACATTCAAAACGTGGTCAGCGTGCAAGCCGCCAGCGTTCAAGAGCAGCTCCAGAGAATCCAGCAGATCCGCGATCAGCAGCAGCAGCGAAAACAGCTGCAGATCGAATCTAAGAGGGAGCAGATGTTACAGACCTCAAACCAAAATGAAATTATTCAGAAACAGGTAACAATGACTGCGTCGACCACAACTAAAGCGTGCTTGTTGTTTGGTTCAAAGTGGTTGGTTGGATGATAGTTGTATTAGTACTGCCCTGGTTTGAAGTGTCCTATTTCTCCACTCCATCACCGTTAAAGTAGCCAAACTCCTGGCATTACTGCCTGGTTAATTAATGGGTCATTATTTAATACATTTTTTTTCATGAAACTCAATCTGGGTTATGTTTGAATGGATCAATTAAATGGCTAATGAAATGGCATGTCTACGACGAATAGGTTAACAAAATAATGATGTATAAATGTGCGGAGGGATCCACCGATCAGAATTTCTTTTTTTCTCTTCTCCAAAATATTCCAATGTTGTCTGATTGCCTGTGCGGTTTGGACAGGATATCTGTTCCATGTGCTCTTGAACACTCCTCACCTGAGTTGTCTTTTCGTGCAGTTAACGGTTTGTCCTCGTCATTCAGGTGGTCATGAAACACAACGCTATGATTGAGCACCTCAAGGCCAAGAACAGGATGATGTCACCTGCTGAACGGGAGGAAAATCAGAGGTATGTTCCTGTGTGGTGGATTGGGACTGGGTTTCGAGGCTAAAATGGGTTGCATTCAGGTGATGGCCATCTAAGCAGTTTAGAAATGCCATCTTATCCTGAATTTAGTATCTCAAACCCTTGTTTTGTGTTTTCCAATGTACCTGAACCCATTGCATTGAGGTTTTCCTCCTGTAGCCATGATTTTAGCAGCCATTACATCTGTCATGTATAACATTATCAAAATTCCTCCTCATCTACTGTAAAGCCTTGGGAATTACTGGAGGGTGTGAATTTCTATTGATACATTATTGAGTCGTATAGTTGTGTCAACTTTTATTGACCTTTAGCCCAATTTTTTGATGCCTCAGCCCAGATCCCTTGGAAGAATAGATTCTACAGGTGCAGTAACCACTGTAAACTTAACGCGAGGAAAATGAAAAGTTTTTAGGAAGAATCGAGTATCGTGGTTTCTTCTGACTGTCGCTCTCTCTCTCTCTCTCTGCACTTTGATCTAGAATGATTGTGTGCAACCAGGTAATGAAGTACATACTGGACAAAATTGACAAGGAAGAAAAGCAGGCGGCAAAGAAGAGAAAGAGAGATGAGACGGTGGAGCAAAAGCGCAGTAAACAAAACGCCACTAAGCTCTCGGCGTTATTGTTTAAGCACAAAGAACAGTTAAAAGCAGAAATTCTAAAGAAAAGGGCATTGTTGGATAAGGAACTTCAAATTGAGGTGCAGGTATGTATGGGGGGCATTTGAAAACCATTTCGGTCGTTCACAAACTCTTTAAAAGTTATTAGTTAGAATTTTCCAGCAACTCAGAATGTTCGGCGTCCATTTCCTCAGAGTATTTCTCCACTGACGTGATCGCACTCGCGTTGTAATGTTGCACTGAGTCTGTTAGCATTCACATCTTCAAGACTGAGGTGGATAGATGTTTAAGTCAGGGTATTGAGGGATACGGGGCAAGGTTGGGTAATTGGTCTTGTGGTGCAGAGGTCAGCCATGATCTTATAGAATGGCGGAATAGGCTCGAGGGGTTGAATGGCCAACTCTTGTTTCTGTCACTGGTGGACCAGACAGAATGTTTTTTGTTTGTTCCTTGCTCTGTAAGGAGGAACTAAAGAGGGACGTGAGCAGACTGAAGAGGGAGAAAGAGAAGGTGCAGACCGCGACGGTGCACGCCGCCACCGTGACGGCACTGAGCGCAGTCCCAGCCGCGGTCACGCAGAAGCGCAAACGCGACGAAGAGAAGGAATCCACGAAGACCAAGAAGAAGAAGATGATTTCTACTACCTCAAAAGAATCCAAGAAAGACACAAAGCTTTACTGTATCTGCAAGACACCTTACGACGAATCAAAGTACGTCCTAGGGATTTTTTTTTCTTATTTTTTTTCCCCCCCTCTCTTCCCCCCCCCTCCCCAGCACCACCACCTCGTGGACACCTATTCCCAGCACTGCATGGCACAGCACGTCGGCACAACCAAGTGGGCCTGAACTCGCCCACCTGCCGCCTCCGCCAGGGGTGGGGGTTTGAGGGCAAACCTTTTGCAGTAGTCGGTAGGGGGAAAAAGAGAAATGAACGTGGTTTTTTTTTTTTAAAAAAAAACCAAACAAACAAACAAACAAAAAAGAAAAGAAAAGTACTCAGACATGTTCATTTTTCAGGTTCTACATTGGCTGTGATCTCTGTACGAACTGGTATCACGGAGAGTGTGTTGGTATCACAGAAAAAGAGGCTAAAAAAATGGATGAGTACATTTGCAATGAGTGTAAACGAGCTCAGGAGGGCAGCAGTGAGGAGCTGTACTGTATCTGTAGGACACCTTACGACGAATCACAGTAAGCTGAAACGTCAACGGAGATATATTTTTTTTCCTTCTTGCCCTGCGAACCGCTTGTTTTTTTTTCCCCCCCCTCCCCGAGTGACAAGCATGCGGTGTTGTCCTCCTTAGCTGATGCTTATCTGTCTGTCGCGGGCTGTCGGGGAGGGAGGGAGGCGGGGTGGGGGGGAAACGCTACGGGCAGTTGTGTTAAGTTTTTTTTTTGGGGGGGGGGGGTTAGAATCCCTCGAAATATCCATCACCCCCCCCCACCTGTCGTCGTCGTGGCCGAGGAGCAAATTTGCTGAGGTTTCAACGGCGTGTTGTGGTGGTTGTTGTTTTCCGTTTTGTTGCTCGTAAAGTTTTATGCCGGTGCTTAGAAAAGGGCAAACAGTGCTTTGGAGTGTCTTGCTGTCTGGCCCGTTCTCTTTCCCACCCACCACCCCCGCACCCCTCTCTCTTGCTTCAGAGCTACCATAACGTTCAGTGTTGGAGAATTTTAGATTTATATTTTTTTTCTAAAAAAAAAAGGCCTCTCCCTCCCACCCTGCCCCGTTTCGGAAATGTTTCCTCTTTGCTCATAACGGTGCTGACTCAGGTTAAATGATGTTTTTCCATGAGTGGCATCCGTCCTCGTGGTATCTCTCTCTCATCTGTGAATCCAGGAGGTAAGTGTCGGCAGACGATTGGGGGTCCGTTGTAGCTGAGCTGAGTCCTGTTCTCACCCCCTTGTCCCAAGAACGGCAAAGTCAATGGATAATCAGTACTTTTGCTGGCTTCCCTCCGGGAACTGGGAGTGACTTGAGGGATTTTTCACTCAATCCGCGACGTGTTTGTGGGACACTGCTCTGTGCGCAATTGGCTGCTGCCTTTCACGAAACATACAGTCAATTCACTTTACAGTATATTCTGTGAAGAGCTTTGAGACGTCCAGAAGACGTGATGAGGCGCTGTATCGAATGCAAGGATTATTATTATTATTTATATTGTTTCCGCTCCGCAAATATTGCGTTTGGATCAGCGTTCCTGAAAGCTAGGGTTCCAGATTTCTGAATTATGATATACCGCAAACTCAACCACTACATCTGGAATTAAGTCTCGACTACACTAGAATATTCACTATAAGATAATGGCCTAACCTTAGCGATGTACGTTTGGGCACTTTGCAGCTTCCTATAATCTTTATTTTGCGTGTACTTTTTTGCTTTCTTTTTTTAAAAAAAATATGCACAAGGTAACTGGCTGAAAATTATTTTCATCATTTGCTACGCCGTGTAATTGATTAAATGTCTTTGCGAGTCTGCGGCTTTGCACGTAGTCCTGCAAGAATCTTTTTATTTTCACGAGTTCGAATGCAGATTTCTTGTGTATCGATGCTTGCGTTTTGTGGCTGGTGATGACAAGTGGAAAGCTCAGAACCAAACAAGATGCCGTCTTTCCCCAACCTCTAGGTTTTACATTGGCTGTGATCGCTGCCAGAACTGGTATCACGGGCGCTGTGTTGGCATATTGCAGAGTGAGGCAGATCTCATCGATGAGTACGTCTGCCCTCAGTGCCAATCTACAGAAGACGCTATGACTGTGCTCAGCCCACTTTCAGACAAGGACTATGAGGGTCTTAAACGAGTATTGCGTTCCTTACAGGTGAGAATGTTTCTGGAATATCTTCATAATTCCCCCCCACCCCCACCCCGCCTTGCGCGATACTGAGCAGGGTGTGGGCTGACAGGCCTACACTGCGAGTTGTTCTATCGTTTCCCCTCCTCTTCTTCCATCGCTGTCAAGTATTGTGTGACTATGTGAAAGATATGGGCTCACAGGTGAGTAAATGGAGTTGAGGTAGAGATCAGCCATGATCTAATAGAATAGCAGAACAGGCTTGAGGGGCTGAATGGCCTATTCATGTTCCTAATAGAAACCTACATAATAACACATTGTTTGATCCCTCTTAGGCTCATAAAATGGCCTGGCCTTTCTTGGAACCAGTGGATCCCAATGATGCGCCAGATTACTACGGTATCATCAAAGAGCCGATGGGTAAGTTGACGGTTTAGCCTCGTATGAAATTAATTTGTCTCAGACACTTGTCTTACATTGACTGTATTGTTGCTTCTTGTGACATTTTGTTTTGTGTTGTTTTCCCCCCCCCCACCCCTGCATCCAGTGTTCCCCAATATCAGCCCAGTCTGTCCATATCACAATTCCCACTCCCACCAAAGCTATCTTAATGAGTCAACTCAGGAGGAGCAGTGTAGATGATGTGCATTGAGGTTTCCACGAGCTGGGAATTTTGGGAGCTCCCAAATTTTCAGTCTCCGTTTCTTTGTGGGATTTAATTTGTTGGAAGAGGAGAAGAAACCAAACGAGAGGCGGAAAATGAGACGTGGATGGCTGGCTGGCTGTTTATGTGGTCGTGACAAATGAGGGACATAAATACCTGGATGAAAGCACTTTTAATCCCCGGCTCTTTCACACTGAAGTAGTTCTGGTCTCATGGGTGACATTTATTTGGAGGCAGCGATAACAATCTGCTTCCGCGGGACATTAAGCCGGACAAAATTGAACATCTCTCACTTTACACGAGAGACCTCGAGTGACCTTTGAGAAGGTTCAGTAGCTGAGATCAAACCAATGCAGTTTAAACACTTCTTTTTTTTTGTTCTTTAACTTCCAACACTTTGAACCCATCTGTTAAAGCCAACCAACGAGAATTTTTCCATTTTCCGAAAATATTTATAAATATACCAGAAGTAGCTTGGGACACCGTTCCACTTATAGCTCCCTCAGGTGTGGGCTTGCCTCTTGAAATTGGTGACTGCACTCAGATTCGGAGAGATGCAGTCCTTTTAGTTTGCTAATTGTCCAAAGCAGAAGCGAGAGAGAGAGAAAATGTGTCGGAGTTCATCCTTTTCATGTATTTATTTATTCTTCCGTGACCTGTTTAACCTTCTCATCTTCTCTCCCCCCCCCTCCCCACCCTCCTCACCCCTCCCTCCTTCCCAGGCTCAGTTCTAAGGATTTCTTCTTAAGGATTTTGTTGAAATTATTTCAGTGTTCAAAAGCAAATGTTAATATTATCAGCTCTCGTGTTGACATTCCCAGTATCGTATGCTCTAATCGATGTAACATTGCTTTTTCGAGAGATTTTCAGTGTGTTTTATTGTGCAACTTTTCTCATTTACTGAACTTTTCTCAAAAAAATAATTTGGTCACTCAGCCCACGAGTGTTTGTGGGACACTGCTGTGCGCAATTGGCTGCCGCGTTTCGCCCACAAAATATACAGTCAATTCACTTTACAATATATTCGCTGAAGCGCTTTGAGACGTCTCAAAGACGTGCTAAGGCGCTATATCAAATGCAAGGATTATTATTAGTATTATTTTATTCATGTTTTTTTAAATTTAAAACCACAGATCTTGCCACCATGGAAGAAAGAGTTCAGCGTCGCTTTTACAAGAAACTGACGGACTTTGTTGGTGATATGACCAAAATCTTTGACAACTGCCGTTACTACAATCCCAGCGATTCACCGTTTTACCAGTGTGCGGAGGTCCTAGAGTCATTTTTTGTACAGAAACTGAAGACTTTCAAGGCGAATAGGTGAGACAGCGAGCTGATGGTGGGTGCACTTTGTAAGTTCTCTTTCTTTTAAGTATTTTTCTTGTAACTTGTTACTTTATTTTTTTCCTCACCTGCCCGAGAAAGTGACGATATAAATCTCTTCCCTGGTTTCGCTATTTCATTTTAACGTGCGTTTAATGCTCGTTGGTTTTGTTTTAAGTGTTGAAATGTGGCAGTGTACAATGATTGACTCCGCAAAAGTTAAAAAAAAATGTAATTGTTTTGACTGCGGGAGGGTTGGGGCGTAAGGTCTAGTCTCTGCATATCGCCAGTCTTCCCAGGCTTGATGGATCAAAGTGCATGAGGAGAGGAAAAGGAGGCAAGGAAATGGGGGAGTGAACATCAAGCCTGGGCTGTGCAATCACCTGGGAAACCCTTCCAGCCTGAAAGGCACTACATATAAATGTAATTTGTTGTTGAGCTCAGCTGCCTGCTGTGGGGAGCAAATGTGGTTTTATTTTGCATGTTTCTGGATAGACGTCATGTTGAACTTCCTCCTAATCTTTAGGAGCTGCCAATGTTCCCTCCCTCCCTCTTACCCACTGGTTGGCTGCCTCGTGGGTCTCCAGCAGCCCAGTGTTAATGCAACAAAAGGTGCTAAACTGTTCTTCCCTTTTATGCTCCCTCCTCGTAGGTCTCATTCCTAACAGACTACACACTCTACTGCATAGGTGGCAGCACTCTCTGGACTTCTAAAAAGAATCAAAAATCGTACAAAGCGTGAATAGCAGGAATCCTGTTTCCAAGAGTGCAGCAAGAAACAGCTGATGTCCCCCCCTCCCCATCTCCATCCCTCCTTCCCTCCTCCCTGAGGCAGATACACTGAGTCAGGCTTTCCTGACTGACTGACCTTAACCAGCGCTGTTGTTCAACTGAATTGGATAAACGCCCCGTTCTGTTTGTTAGAAGCTCAAAGGGAGAGTTTGGAAGAAGACGGAAAAGAAAGAAACTTGTTTTCCCAGCCCTGCTTTGACTGTTGCAGCCTCCCCTCACCCTGTGTGCGGAGCAGATCTACGAGAGGCATCCTGTGCGCTTTTTTGTTCCAACAGAGAGGGCTGGCTTCAGTTTTCCCAGAGGAATTCATCACCACAGTTCTTCAGTGAAGAAGCTGTCTGCACGCTGTCTGTAATGAAACAACCCTGTTTAAGTTTGACAGCTGTATTTATTTATTACTGAGAAAAGATGAAGCTTTCTTTTTTTTTTAGAATCTTCTGCTCTCATTTGTCAACTAATTATGTGCTTTTTTTCTTTACCCCCCCCCCCCCCGCCACCCCACCCCCCCATCGATATAAAAAGACCCCGTTTGCAGATAAGCTGGTCTTTTCTTTTTATGTAATTACTATAGGTAACGGCCAGTGCTGAACCCTTTTGTCCTTTCTTTGTTTGAAAGGAGTCATTTCACGTAGACGGGCGCATGAACACACACACATCCCACTTATGCACACACGCACGCATACAGCAGGCACACTTGTGCCTGTCCACACGCACACACGCACTCTCGCGCGCACTCACCCACACCGCAGGCACCATCGTGTGCGTATACACGCACACGCGTACATACATGTGTGACTGGGATCCAAGGAGAGAGTTTCCTTATTCTAACCAATCTGAATTGAAACAGAAGCTGACGGCAGCTTCCGGGGTTTACGTTACTATGGCAGCAGCAGCACTAGAAAACTGTCAATCACTCTGCAGAATTTGATCGACTGAAAACGAAGCGGTGTGTACTGAAGGTATCTTGTATGTAAACATTTTGTCAGATGCTGAATTTTTTTTTTGTTTCTTTTTTTTTGTATTAAGGTTCAGAAATATTGATGTATATGAAACCAATAAACGGAGGAAACCATTAACTCCCACAGAGAAAGACGCAAGTGTTTCTGTATGTGCTTAAATTAACCCAGTGTGAGACCTCGCGTCTCTCTTAAGAATTCCAGCCAAGACAACAATTTGGAGAAAGTGTGAGGGCACTTTTAAATTTGAAATGCTGCATATTGTATGCATTTGTAATGATTTAAAAAAAAAGGGGGAATCTCTGAACTGTCTCTGAGTTGTGAAACACTGCACATCTCTTCACCACATCGCAGTATTTCTGTACTATTTATTCATATCTACAAACTTATTCGTTTTGAGTAATGTTGCAAAAAAAAATCTTTCCTACCTGTAGGTAATAGATTGCTATCTATGTTTTTAACAGATTGTGGCAACTATGAGGAGTAAATTCTTTTGTACTTGATAGGACATTTCATCCTAGACAATAAAGTAATGTTTTTGACATCAATCTTGGTGTCATCTTTTTATCCCATTTTAAAACAAAACAAAAAAAAACTTGTTTCTGTCATTCATTTATTGTGTCGGTGAGACATGCTGGAAGTAACCGATACCTTGGATTGATTGGGAAGTGGGGAGGGAGGGATTCAATGAGTTCCAGTTGTTAGCTTAAAGTTTCGAAATTGCTGTGCCTCAAAAGGTAGGAAAAATCTTTCACTGGCGATCCCTGTAGGATGTGGTTGAACAAAGCACTCTTTTATTTGCCAAGCAGCCTGCACTGAGGGTGTGGGTTTCGTCCTTGCTGTGAGCTCACCAGTCACGTGAGGGTCGGTAGGTGCGGCAGAGAAATGGGTTTCCGAGCTACTGTCAAACTGCCTTTGCTTTTTGTTTCGCCCACGAAATACGGTCACTGCACTTTACAGTATATTCTGTGAAGCACTTTGAGACATCACTTCGATGTGACAAGGCGCTATATCGAATGCAAGGATTATCAGTATTATTTGCTTTTGTTTTAGAGGCTGTTTAAGAACTTATGCTTTTCTATTTTGAAATTGTCAATTAAAATGTTCTTTTCCCCATCAATTCCTACTGGGTGGACATTGAAAACTCAGCAGCCAGTGTGTGCCGTTTGGTTAATCTTACGCTGAGTTTACGCGAGTGCCTCACGGTCGGTTACCTAAAAAGGTTTAAGTGTGAATGAAGCAAAATGATGTTAAATGTGAAGTTGTTTCCTTTCCCAATATCCCATCCAGCTATTTAAAATTGTACAAAGGTTGGATTCTACTCGATTTCTCCACTCCCATTTCCTCTTCCCTTCTCCCCCGCCCTCAAAACATCGCTATGCCAGGGTATATTTGAGCCACACAACTGCGAGTTCTGACTCATGTTGAGTTAGCTGATCCAAGCCAGGGATCCAGCTCACTGAATATAATGGGGCTATGGGAAAAGGAGATAGACTTTCCTACAACAAAATTAGCTGGAGAGAAAGAAGTAAAATCTCAGCTTCGCGTAGGTTCTCTGTGTCTGCCATTGCCTTCCTCCAGTTCCCCAGGGCTGTGGTTTCGCTCCCATTCCCTTTCTGTGTGGCTTCAGGCCGTGTGCCATTTGCTATTGTTCGGCCACTTGGCAGAAGCCAACATTCTGATCTTCTGCACAATTCGAAAGTCCAACTTGGGTCCGTCAATCTTTAACCATTGCAAGTGACTGAGTCTCTGCAACAACACAAGGAATAATGTAGATTTGAGCCTGCGCCCCTGTTAGAAATAAGTTCAGAATCATTCAGAGCTGCCGAAGTGAGTGCCAGATCCTATATGCAATTCCATGCGATCCCAGCCTTAAGACCGTTGTCTTAATTTTTAAGAAAGTACAGAATGTGGCAAAATTGTTAAATTCAGTCTCAATTATGAAGACACTTATTTTTAAGGAAGACTGTGGGAGGGAAACCGACTTGCAAATTAAAACAAGTTTTTTTTCCCCCCCCCCGTGGTTCTCAAATTTTTTATTCCCAGTCAGGTAAGCTGAGATCCTCTGAATGGAAGTTCTTCAGGGGTGTTACAAACTCAATCTACTCCTAGAAATAATAATATCTTCTCAGAGGGTTTTGAGAAAGGAGGGCTTTGTTTTGCTAATTTTTATTTGATTTTAAGATTAAGACGACTGTTCCCAAACTCAAATCGGGTATCATTAGCTTTGATCTTAGCAAGTCTGAGTGATCAGGTCCCACAAGGTGTAATAATTTTCAGGATTGTAACATGCTCAAGTGTTTTAAATCACTTTAATGGCGACAGAGGAAATGGGGGTCGCAACCTTGAGCTTTTTTTAATCCAGGCAGAGGTTAGATGTGATGGTTGGGGTCAGTAACTGCACATTTACTGGAACATGATCCCGAATGATGTTCTCTGTGAAATGAGAATCTGAACAAACCCTCCTGTTGTGGATTAGCACGACTGAGATCCGGGGCTCGAAAGCGAACTTTAGCTCCCAGTTTAATGGCAATGTGAGTAGGAAAACCGTGGCTATGTTGGGGTCTTATCACGGAGTGATTTGTGAGCTGGGATATTTGGTGTCGGTTGCAACTTCATGTGAAATGTAGTTAAATATGCAGTTAAGGGCAAACTCTTGCAATTTGAGATTGAAAACTTGCCAACAATGGAAAGGACCACCTCAGTAGGGCTTGGCTGGAGTTGATCTTCTCCTCTTTCTCCCCCCACCCGCACCCCCCTCCGCACACACACACACACACACACGCGCACACACGCACGCGCGCGCCCCCTCCAGAATCGATCCTTGCTAACCAATCAGCCACCTGTGTGCTCTGGGGGGGCAAAACCGAGGTGTCAGTGGGAACTTGGCAAAGGAGGAATATCGTAAACCTCTTATTTTGTCTGAACTCAATTCTAAGAAGTTTCACTGTGAGCTTCGCAGCTCAACTTCAAGCAGAGCCCAGTCTGTCCGCTTCAGCCAGGATTTATTGTTCAGTCGAGCTATAGAGATCCTCTCGCAGTGAAAGCTCTCATTGTTTCCTTTAGGAATATATGCAGTCTTTGCCATTTGGTACCACAGTGAGGGCTGGCACCAACCAAGCTCCTCCATTCAGGTGGAGGGACTCCGCAGACTCCCACAACCCTCTCGGGAGCGGGGACACACAAAAAAAACCTTAAACTTCAGCCTTTAAACAAACGCAGCCACCCTGCACCCACCTCAGAGCTTTGATGTGGTACAGTGGCCCTTTCCCAGAGGAAGGGGAATAGCTGTCACTTTCTCACAGTCGCTCATTTACATAACTCCTTGCTCTCGCTGAAGTTTCTTTTTTTAGAGAGTGAAAGGAGCTGGAATGTGGGGCGACTGTAGAAATTCAATCTCCATTCACACCCGACCAGATTTACGGCCGTCAGGCATGTATTAACCACCCAGGCTGTGTTCCTACAAGTCTTAATAAAAATACAGTGCAGACAGACATGAAGATGTTATTTTTTTTTATTTCTCGTCTCTCTCCCCCTCTTGATCCAGGCACTAACCTCCCCTCCTGTTCCCAGGCTCCTGTGAACTGTGTAGTGACTAGACATTTGTAGGCAAACTTAACAACAGCCAATTTGTAAACTACAAATGTCTCCGTAAACAGGCCATGAGGTGAATGACCACTTTGTCTGGAAGATTGTTGGCCAGGACACAGCAGGAGGTTGGATTAAAAGCTTTGGGAAAAATTCTAAAAAGTACAGGGAAAAGAGCAGGGACACTGAGATCAGTGTAAATCCCACCTGGAGCGTCACACTAATAATAATGTGTGTATATATACTGTATAATAAGCTTGCATTTAATATAGCGCCTTAACACGTCAATGAGACGGCTGAAAGCATTTAAGCGTTTATTGTGATGTGGAGTGACTGTATTTTGTGGGTGAAACACAGCAGCCAATTGCGCACAGCAGTGTCCCACACACAGCAGTGGATTGAGTGATCAAATTTGTGTGGNTTTTTTTTGTGAGGGATTATTACCCCCGGAAAGCGATCCGCCAATCGAGGAACCAGATTCCTACTTACTGCGAGGTAAACAGGAGTGTGGAGTAAGGAAATTTGCCTGAGGTTTTGCCCCACCCAGGAATCAAACCCAGGAACTCTCGCTTGCCAGGCGAGTCACTACGCTATGGAACTCCACAATGGCAGAAGGTAGCACCTCAGTGCAGACACGATGGGGCGGACAGCTTGCTCCTCGCTGTAAACTTTCTACAATAAACCTTCTATAACATTATAGACAATTTTTTTCTTTAAAAAACCACAGTACATTGATTTTGGAAAGAGAATTTCGTGTGGACTCTGTTTTCGCTTACAAGAGGTACAAAATATATATTTTTTTAAATATTGTATGAACAAATAACAGATTTGGGGGGCAAACACAGGCTGGACCTCAATCAGATGTTCACACACTCTGCTTGTTGAGAATAAATTTGTCTTCGCCATCTGTAACATACGATACTTATATTTCTACTCAATATACATACCATGAATAGATCAGAGTATGACCATGCAGAAATTTTAGGAATAAGGTCATTATATTAACTGCGTCCTTTGGTAAGAAAGGTTTCTTTATCTTGCTGTTATTACAAGTTGCAGCTTTTACATTTAGTTTTTAAATTCTCACTCGCAGAAAGCCCGGCTCTGTTGCTGACAGCCACGTATTAGCAACAACATCAGTATGTTGCTTCAGGTATTTTTCCTCTGTTTACCGAGCAGTGAGTAGGAATCCGGTTGTTAGTCGATGGCGGATCGCTTTCTGGGGTAATAATTCCGGGCGTAAAAAATAATAATGATTTGGTCATTCCACGACTGTTTGTTGGACACTGCCGCGTTTCACTCACAAAATACAGTCGATCCACTTTACTGCATATCCTGCGAAGCGCTTTGAGACGTGTCGAAGACGTGATAAGGCGCTATATCAAAATGCAAGGACTTTTATTATTATAGTTTTATTTCCCTGAGATTCCTGGAAAAGATCCTCCGCATTTCCCGTCCTGTGCTGCCTGTAGTTTCTGCTCTCTTTTTCTGTTGTACCTTTTCACGTAGCTGCTGCTCTTCACCAACCCGTCCCCGGGTTTCAGCCGCCCAGTCACACGCTCCTGCACCCAGGCAGGTAGAGAATATCTCCTGTGATAAATCTGGCCCATCATGATGTACCGAGCACCTGAGGATTACAAAAACATCGGGACCTGTTATGCACCATGTGTGTAAATGTAGGTATATACAGAGGTAAGTACATGTGCTCCTAACCCTTTAATTACCAACCAACGAAGCGAAATAGTTCCATAATCATAATCCTTGCATTATCACGTCCTTGAGACGTCTCGAAGCGCTTCACATGATATATTGTGAACATTCACTGTATTTTGTGGGTGAAACGCGGCAGCCAATTGCGCACAGCAGTCCCACATGGAGGGAGTGAAGGACAAAAAAAATTGTGTAAATGTAGGTGTACCGAGGTAAGTGGATGTGCGCCTAATCATTTAATAACCAACCAATGAAAATAATTAGTTGTTCAATTCATAATAAATTAACCTACCAACCCGCCCGTTCCCTCCGCTCAGCCGGCTCTGGCTGCTCCACGACCCCCGACCCACCCGCCCCACCATTGGCGGGAGAGCCTTCTGCCACTCTGCCCCCAACCTCTGGAATTCCATCCCACAATCGCTCCGCCTCGCCCCCTCCTTAGCCTCCTTCAAGTCCCGCCTCAAGACCATCCTCTTCGACCATGCCATCGGCCATCCCCCGTTCCCTTCCACCCCCCAACCCCAGCTCGGGTCGAAATGCTGGACACTGTCCAGCGCCTTGGGACGTCCTCCCAACTTGAAAGGCGCTCTACAAATGTAATCTTGTTGTTGTAAATCCTTTGCAAGATCAATACATGGGCGTCCGTACATTTGGTTTGCTTAAAATAGACCCCGCAGCTGCAAACTCTCCCTGTGTTATCTTTGTGTTATGTGAAGAGATACCAGCTTTTTCTGGACAGATTTGAATCCGATCTGGATCAGACTCAGCTGATGCCCCCTTCCCTTCCCAATTAAAATAACCCATTGACACTCACAGTTTAGGCTCAACCCCGACAGGAGAGCAAGAGAATTGATGGTAATAATAATATAATAATAATCCCTGCATTTGATACAGCGCTTGTCACGTCTTCTAGACGTCTCAAAGCGCTTCACAGAGTGTACTATAAAGTGAATTGACTGTAGATTTTAGTAGGCGATATGGTAGAGAAACGAGCAGGTAAATAAGCTCTTTAGTCAAACAAAACTCACCAAATTTCAGGTCCGGACACGGCCGCTTGCAGTTGAAAGTGTCGACGACCAGAACGTGCGCCTTGAAGAAGAATCCATCCGGCGTCACATACAGGCGGCTGGTCCGATAGAAGCCATCGCTGTCCACCAGCACGGTCACCAGCCGCAGCCCCTTCCCCAGGGGGTCTATGCTGTGGATGATGGCGCTTATCGCTGTTTACAAAGATACATCGTCAGCCGCAGTCTGGTAAAGCAACAGTGGTACACAACGAGGTACAGGAGTGGCTGTGTGTGGAAGAGAGTTATGCGTCTGGTTGTGAGAGTAGCTATGGGCAGTCATAGTGGACGTACGAATTACCAGCTTCTTACCAAACTCACTGCTGCAGTAAAACTCCTGCTCATTCTTTTCCTTTCTGCATTCGATCGCACACATCTGCTTGTCGTAATCTTCTGTTTTGAGAGAAAAAAGAAACAGGGAGGTTAAGGCAGCAACTTGCAAGTGGAGTAAAGCTCTTACACAGGAGACGTGCAAAGAAGGGGGTGACGTGACTTACGTCCCTGAGATTGAATGTGTGTCCGTCACTCACCTCCCAGCCTCTTCTCGCACGCACAGTTACATGCGAACCTTTACCCAAGGCAACTTGCTGGTTTAGTCTAATAAATAATAATCCTTTCATTTGCACCTTATCACCACTTTGAGACTCAAAGCGCTTCACAGAATACATTGTAAAGTGGATTGACTGTGTATTTTGTGGGTGAAACGCAGCAGCCAAATTGCGCACAGCAGCGTCCCACAAACAGTCGTGGATTGAGGTAGGAAAGGAGATGGGGGAATAAGGGAGGCAGTGAATAGTCTCAGTTTGGTTTGGATACACCTAACCACTGTGACGAGTTGGGTTTCTTTGTGCGTCAGACACCCGGACGACCAAAAAGAGAAAAAAAAACTTGGTGCGAAAGTAGGATTTACCTTCTCGGATGATGTTGAAGTGGTAAAGGAGGCTCGACGAGCGCCGGTTGGTGGCCAGAGACAGGTTTGTGCTGCTCACTCGTTCCGCGCTGCGGGAGCCTCCACGTCTGGAGCGATTCTCATCCCGGCCGGAGTCTTCCCTGCGTCCCGGTTTCGGCCCCAGCGCGGGGAGGAGGGCGAGGGTGCCGGGTCGGGGAAGGGGGTGAGTCTGCACGGTGCGAGCACGAGTGAGGGTTAGGTCAGCGGGCGAGCGGTTGGACCCGGCCTGCGGAGCCCAGGACAGCTGATGCCGGTGCTGCTCAGCACCATCTTTCCTCGCCGCCGCTCTCTCCATGCTCTCGTTCCTGGTTTCCTGGAAAGGATCCCACGTTCCCGGCCACTTCCCATTTTTCCTCTGGTGTCGGGGAGAGCGAGCACCGGCGTTCACAGCTGCTGATGGGCAGACAACAAGGGGGAAGCTTGTCAGAAATTGAAATAAAATTTGTAGCCCCAAAACCCACCAAATTACAAGCCCAAAAGTAATCCCGACATTATGCATCGCCTCCATTGCAGGAGTAGATCACACAGAGCGGAAAAGTGACGGGTTCACTTTCTAGTCTGTGCTGATCTCAGCCGGGGCTATAATTGGTCTCGTTGGGTTAGGGAGGGGTGGGGGTGGGGGGGGAAGCATCAGTTGAGCTTCTGGCTCAGGGACACTGAGGCCAGTTGGTAGCGGCCGCAATATGTCAATTCAAATAATGATAATGCTTACGTTTGACTTAGCGCCTTATCACGTCATTGAGAAGTCCCGAAAGCACGTCACAGAATATACTCTAAAGTGTACCGACTGTGTATTTTGTAGGCAAAACATGGCAGGCTATTGCGCACAGGAGTGTCCCACAAAGAGTTGGTGGATATTTTTTTCCCCCCCAACCCTTGACCAGGCATCCAACTTGGGACTTGCCCGGCGCACAGTGATCCAAAACCAAGACGCGCAGTTATTACCGTACACGGAAACCATGGCTGGACATTAAGAAGCGGTTAAGTGTGTCAAATCACGTACGATTACATTTCCATTTGCGTCGCAGGAAGAGAGTGTGACAGTTCGCAGCACTCAGTCTGATAATAATCCCAATAACCCTTTTCTAATAATAATCCCAATAACCCTTTTCTAATAATAATCCCAATAACCCTTTTCTAATAATAATCCCAATAACCCTTTTCTAATAATAATCCCAATAACCCTTTTCTAATAATAATCCCAATAACCCTTTTCTAATAATAATCCTTATTCTGATAACCCTTTTCTAATAATAATCCTTATTCTGATAACCCTTTTCTAATAATAATCCTTATTCTGATAACCCTTTTCTAATAATAATCCTTATTCTGATAACCCTTTTCTAATAATAATCCTTGCATTTGATATTGCACCTTACTGACACGTTTGACAGCCCTTCCTCTCGGATCCCAGGCAGCAAATAATAATTATTTTCCTTTTCTTTTTTTTTTGTAGAAAAAAAACACACACCACACAAACTTTTTGCCCAACAGCAGCTAAGTTACAACAGTCGGTTCGTTCCACACGTTTCAACGTTGGCGAACGTTCACCTCATATCAACGGTTTAACGAACATCACGTTTTTTGCATATTTTTTTGGGGGGGAAAAAAAGAAAGAAAGAAAGAGAGAGAGAGAGAGAGAGAGAGAAAGTTCGTGATTGCAACTTAAAATAACTTTGTGTGTTGGCTCTCACCTGAACCTTTCGCACTCGTCTGTGCGACTGTCCACAGGGCGAAGAGTGAGAGCAAAAGCCTCTCCATCGCTGAGACAACACCAGTGAATGACTGAGAGAGAGAGGGAGAGAGGGGGAGAGGGAGAGAAGGAGAGGGAGAGAGGGAGGCAACAACTTTTATATACCTCCAGAGCTATGCTAATGAGGACCACCACAAAACTGGGAGAAAATATAATAAATCTCATCCCCCAAGAAATCTCCAGGCGATGCCAGAGTCGGGAATCCTTTTTTTTTCTCTCTCTCTCTCTCCCTCTCTCTCTCTCCAATATTACTTTGATGGGATATGCGAATTCCAATGGGGTTTTTTTGTTTTCTCCCTCTCATTGGGGGTTTAGGAATTCCGCCCCAAATAATGTGTCCATCTCAGCAATAGCTGAAAGTGGTGGTTTTTTTTCTCTCTCTCTCTCCCCCTTTTCTGTTCTCGTCGACGCGACGTCCCTTTCCAAATGATCCTTCTCAACGTCCAGGGAGTGAGTGTTGGGAGGACCTCTGTCCCCACAGATCCTACACTGCGCTTCTCGTTTCCCTTCAGGAATGTGGTGTTTAATTGGAAATTAGAGGGAAAGAGAGAGGGAGAGAGAGAGAGAGAGGGAGAGGAGGGGGTGAGGGGTTGGGGGGTGGGGGGGGAATGGTGCAAATTTTCCTTTGAGATAAAGTGTGTGTCGGTGCTTACAATTCTGATAATAACCGTATTTTGTTGTAATCTAATAATGAATAATAATAACAACAATAATAATAATTGTGTCCACATCAGGAAAATTCAGAGGGAATTGGGATCTCTGGTGACAACGTTTCCGTGTGTGTGTGTGTGTGTGTGTGTGGGAATAAACAATAATATAATAGCGTTGTTGTTGTTGTTGTTGTTGTTATTATTATTATTAAATGTGCGTTCAATGCACATTATTAAACCCACTTTGCGAAAAAAAAAGTCCACTCAAATTTCCACGGAGGGGAATAAAAAACACACAACACAACACACATCGAAGTTCAAATAAACCGCGACCCCCCCTCCCCCCCCCCCTCCGTGATCTTATTCGGGAATAATAACACACAATAATAATAATAATAATAATATTAACGATAATTAATAACAACAACAATAATAACGAACGATCCGCTTTAATCCGTTCCATGTAAACGAGAGGACCGCATTACCCGCAGCACTTTTGCACGTTCGGGACTGTGACGCGGTTTATATATATATATATATATATGTATAAAAATAGTTGCATTTTCTCTCTTTATTTTGGGGGTAAAAAAAAAGGCGTTTTGATTACAAACCGCGTCCGCGTTCCTCGCGGCGGCGGCGCTGCGAAAACCCGCCTCACTCTCGCCCTCTGCTGGCGGCCACCGCGAACTGCGCGCCCCACCTCGCCCCGGCGCCGGCTCCCGGAGCCGCGCCGAGCGCTCGGGGGCCGCCGGGGGGGTCTCCCGGGGGCCGGGCGGCCGGGCCGGGCCGGCGGGGGCCGGCGGGGGCGGCGGAATAAATTCGAGGCCACAGGGTCCGGGCGGGACCGTCAAAAAAGGAAGAGAGACCCGACCCAGATGGGACTCGAACCCACAATCCCCAGCTCCGGAGGCTGATGCCTTATCCATTAGGCCACTGGGTCACCACGCGGGCTGTGTGCCCGCAGCGCTGCATAGACACGTGGCTCTGCCGCCTCGATGGGGGGGGGGGGGGGAGGGGAGTGGGGGGTGGGGAGGGGGAGTGGGGGGGTGGGGAGGGGGAGAGCGACTGCACACGTAGACACGGGGAGAGGTCACGGACGGAGGGAGACACCCATTCCCGGGACGGACCTCGGACGCGGCGCCCCCCGGGGGACCCCCCACCCACCAACCCCCCCCCGGGGGCTCCCCTTCCCCCGCGGTGGCAACCGTCGCCGTCCGTCCGCGTGTGCGCGCGTCCGCGCCTCTAAAGCGCTGCACCGGGAGAGCGAACCGCCTGTGTTCCCCCCCCCCCCACCCCCCCCCGGTCTGGCGCACAGCGGTGCCCCCCCCACCGCAAGCGGTCGCGGCCAAATTATTACCGTCTCGGAATTACTGTTAACCTCACGGCAATTTGCTTGTGATCGGCTCGAGCTGTCGCTTCGACTCCCGTGTCCTGAAACTTTCCCTTTACCGGGGCTCACTCGCTCCTCTGCTGTTCACTAACTCTACCAACAGCAGCAAATTACATCTGTAAAGCACCGTTCACGTCCCAAAGCGCTGTGTCTGTCAAGGCCTTTACTTTCTTCTTTTCGAGGCTATTTTGTCTCTCGCTCCATGGCTGCTTGTGGGACATTGCTGTGTGCAATCGGCTGCTGCTACGTATTACTGCCCACAAAATACACAGTCAAACTGCCTTACAGCAAATCCTGCGAAGCGCATTGATGCATCTCGTGAGCTATATCAAATGCTAGGTTTATTACTACGGAGACCGCCGTGGAGGATCGATATGATTCTGATGTTCCAGGGCCTGGCCTCGTCACATCGGTGCCAACTCAGCACCGAGGACGGTCATTAGTTGGTCATCAGACAGCCGAGTGCGGTTTGAGCCCTCACGGGGAGGTTTGCCCACCAAATATACAGTAAATCACTTTACAGTGGGCTCCGTAAAGCTGCTCTGGGATGTCTTAACGACGTGATAAGGCGCTGCATCAAATGCAAGGACCGTTATCACTGTTAAGCAGAGCCTTTGCTCGGTGCTCGGTGCTCGCGGCTCAACGACAAGTTACGTCTGTAAGAGCGCCCGTCGGCGGTGGGTGGGGGGGGTGGTGGCATCGCAGAGCGCTTAAGCAAGTACACTGGCAGCTCCTCCACGCGAAGGGCACTGTATAAATAACGTAAATTGTACTGTGTTGCGCATATTATATATATGTGCAAGTTGTTGTTGTTGGCATTACCAGGAAGAGAGGGGGTGGGGGGCTGTGGGCGGGGCCGCCGCCGCGGTGGGCGGGGCCGGCATCGGGTCAGGTGACGGCACGGCTCCTCGTCACGACAACGCGGGCTACATTCAAACCAGCCAATGGCGTGCTTGCTTTGAATCGAATCGGCCAATGGGAGGGCGGCGGCGCCGGCATTTAAATTGCGGCCGGGGCGCGGGTTGGGCTCTCACTGCCGCCCTCCGCCGGGACTCGTGTCTGTGTCTGTCTGTCTGTCTGTGCTGCAGCTCCGCTCAGAGGGACACACCGCGGATCCCCGAGAACATTGGGGTTCAAACCAGGTTTGTGGGTTCCCTGATTTCACTTACACCCCCTCTTTTGACGTGATGCGGTCACCCCCCGCCCAAAAAAAAATGATTAGTTTTCTTTTAAAAAGATGGGTTCCGATTGCGGCCCTTTTTTTCCGCCTTCTTTTTTTTTGTGTGTGTGCGCGCGATTGGCTTTCGAGTTGCGGCCGCGAGACGTCAGCGGAGTAGCGGGTTTTTAATCCTTACCTTTCGAAGGAATAGGATAAGTAAATAGCAAATAAAGGGAATCGATGAACGAAACCCGACGCTGCAGTTTAAAATGTTCTTTTTTTTCTTTAAAAAAAAGCGCAGGGGGCGTTTTCAAGGTCGCGGATGGCAAAGGTTTTTTTTTAAAAAAACGAATAAAAAAAAATAGTGGGACGCGACTGTTTGCGCCGCGCGGGGTGCGGAATGGTGGGGAGTGGCGCCGATTCATTTTTTTTTCGTTTAAAACCCTAAAGGCAGATTTTTATAGAGACCTCGGGATTGTCTTTCGCAAAAGTCCGGGGAAGATGTCCGCTGCCAACGAGAACGCCTCCCCCCGCCTCACCCAGTTCAAGAACAAGGGGAGAGACGCCAACGTAAGTTGCACTTTCAAAGGACGAGAGAGCGAGAGAGAGAGGAAAAAAAAGGTGTGCGGCGGTGCGGTTACCGCGGTCTGTGCGCGAACTGACGGGGGTTTCACGTTTTATATGTGTATATATATATATATATAATATATATGTGTGTCCTCTTTTGTTTGTTTCAGGAGCTGAGGCGCCGGCGGATCGAATCCAGCGTTGAGCTGCGGAAAGCTAAGAAGGACGATCAGTTGTTTAAGAAGAGGAACGTGAGCACTTTCCCGGACGAGGCGGTGTCTCCGCTACAGGAGAAGCAACAGAACACGCAGGTAAACCGCCGTCTGCTCCGGACTCCCCCCTTTGGCTGTCCCGTTGTGGCGTGTATTTTTATTTGATCGGTGTCTGTGTGACTGTGTGAAATTTCCTTACCAGGGTTCCACGCATATGAGTTTGGAAGAGGTGATTCAAGGCGTTCAGAGCAACTGTTTGGAAACTCAGCTCCAGGCGACTCAAGCTGCCAGGTGGGTTCACACCCCGATTCAGCACTCACAGGCATTTGAAGGTTGAGTTATAAAGCCTTCAATAATAACCCCCCCCCCCCCCCCTCACAGCTTACAAACCACCACAAATAAATGCTTGGGATATATATCCCTCCCCTCCTACTTTACACCAGCACTGCAATGAATATTTTCCTTTCTTCTCACAATCTTCATTGCGTTGCAAAATCTCAGGTTCCTTTGCTTTGCTCCCGACGGCCATTGGCTTCCCCCCCCTCTTCATTGGGGCCATAGCAACACATTGGAGGAGCTGATGTAGTTGCCGTTTAATCTGGTCATGAGGCGAATTGCAGAACAACACAGTGTGGCCTATCTACATGGTCTGCTTCTGCAAACAAAAGGGCCTACCAACTGGCTGCGAGCTTAAAAAGGAGGGGACTGCGAAACTGCCTGCCACGGTTTGATTATTTCAATATCCGTGGGTTTTTTTAAAAAAAAAACTATCCCTTCAGTCTGAAGGTTTCTGCTCAAGTACCCGGTTACAGTTTTTGCTTGACCGAATGGTTCCACTGTTGTAATCAAAGGCAGAACGAACGGTTTTGATTCACCAACTTTCAGAGATCCACGAGGCTTTTTGTATCGAGGATTTTGTTTTCTCAGCTACTCATGTGCTTGCGTAAGGCAGAAAACACCATGAATAACACTGTGCCACAATACAATATTGTATTTATATAGCACCCTTTGTGCGGGGTAGCATCTCGTAGTACTTAAACAGTGGTGGAGCCTGACACTGAGCTGGGTGGGGTGGACAAGGGAGTACAGAAGTCATACAGTCCAGTTAAAAGATGGGTAGGTGAAAACTGGTCTTTGCTTACCTTTAAGTTTTCTTTCAGGAAACTCCTGTCCAGGGAAAAACATCCTCCCATAGACGGCATCATTGAAGCTGGTCTGATCCCAAGATTTGTGGGGTTTCTGGGGAATTTTGACTGCAGCCCTATTCAGTTTGAAGCATCCTGGGCCCTTACCAACATAGCTTCTGGAACCTCAGACCAGACCAAGGCTGTGGTTGACGGTGGTGGCATTCCAGCATTCATCAATTTGCTAGCATCTCCTCATGCTCATATCAGTGAACAAGCAGTATGGGCCTTGGGAAACATAGTGGGTAAGTGCAGTGAAAAAGTATGAAATACCAAACTTAATTGTTTTGAAGTTCTCTTGATTAATTTCTAGCCATAATTTGACCTATTCGCTATTCAAACTGAGTTTGATGGCTATATCGGATTGGCTCACTTAAATTATTAGACTGCGGTTCATTGGGGTCTTTGAGATGGGGCTAATGAAAGGGCAACATCAGGCACGAGTCCTGCATATGTGTCCTGCTGGCAAGTCCATATGTGGTTCTAGTTAGGATAAGGTTATGTAGCTAATAAACTCTTATTGTTTCAGGTGATGGATCACACTTCCGAGACCTGGTTATCAAGCATGGAGCAATTGGGCCATTGCTGACTTTATTGGCTGTTCCTGAATTGTCTGTGTTCTCAGTAAGTTGATGATTCCAGTTCCAGTTTTGCAACCCTAACATTAGTCTAACTCAATTTTAAACATATTTTGTCAAATTAGTCACACTTCAACAATATTAAATTGCTGATCCCATGGGCTGCAGCTAATGTAATGGCTGGATCAAGAAAATGGTTTCTCCCACAAAATTCAGTTTATTTGCACTAATATACTGAGATCTACAAGTTCTTACATATTGGCGCTTCACCTTGTTAACCACAAAAATAACTGCAGTAAGGGAGAATATTCTTGGGTGTTGAACCATGTCAGTTTTTTTATGTGGTGGCTGGAGCAAAGCATTTAGCTGCAACTGTTCATAATTTGACACTCCACCTCTTGTTGCAGTCCAGCTATCTGCGCAATGTTACTTGGACGATCTCCAATCTGTGCCGAAACAAGAACCCTGCTCCTCCGATAGAAGCCATACAGCAGATTCTGCCCCTCCTTGTACGCCTTCTGCACCACGACGATAAGGAAGTCCTTGCAGACACTTGCTGGGCCATCTCCTACCTAACTGATGGCTCCAACGATCGCATTGCAGTGGTGGTGAACACTGGGATTGTGCCACGGTTGGTGCAGCTGCTTGCATATCATGAACTAGCGATTGTGGTAAGTTTCATGAATTGGTTGCTTCCACCATCGTAAGCCTCGGTTATTTGATGTATTGATTTTTCATATGATTTGGCATAATTGCTAAACTTCCGGGCAGTGTGTGGATAATATAACACATTGTGCTGATATTGCAGATCAGAAGACCTGAAATTTATTTTATTTTGAAGCTTAAAAGAATGGAATTTGGCATTGGCAACTTTAAAAAAAAAAAAAAAAAAATCTTTGTTCCAGAGATGTCATAACTTGATGAAATCCTGTGATTGTCTTTCAGACGCCTGCACTGAGAGCAGTGGGTAATATTGTTACTGGAACCGATGAGCAGACGCAGCTAGTGGTGGACTCTGGAGTGCTGCCCGTCTTTGCGGACCTACTCATCCACCCAAAGTCCAACATCCAAAAGGAGGCTGCCTGGACCATCTCCAACATCACCGCTGGAAGGCAAGAACAGATCCAGGCAGTTATCAATAGTGGATTGATCCCACCCCTTGTTCAACTGCTTGGAAAGGTGAGCACACCAGTGAAGATTAGTGTCCCAGTGGGGAGAGGTTACGGGAACATTTTTAAAGTGCGCTTTCTAAACTGGCAAACAGTATTAGCTAGTTATGATTTGACTGGTAACAATACATGGAAAGCTGTAGAGAAATTGAACTGTTTTAATAGGTTGGCTAAGTTTGCTTTGTATAACGTGTACTAATTTTGTTCCGTAGGGTGACTTCAAGTCTCAGAAGGAGGCTGTATGGGCTGTGACCAATTATACCAGTGGTGGTTCAGCTGAGCAGATTGTGTTCCTTGTCCAGGCTGGAGTTGTGGAACCATTGTTAGCATTATTATCTGTCAAAGACTGCAAGACCATCCAAGTCATTCTGGATGCCATTACCAATATCTTCTTGGTAAGTTGTGATTGCCATTGTTCACTATTTATTCAGACCTTCTGTTGCATTTGAATGGAAAATACATGCTCTTCACTACTGACAATATTCAAGAATGTTATATTTGACTCCCAATAAGGAAGATTCAACAAGATAATTCTAGCTGTGTCTGGTTAGACATACAGTCATTGTTATGGTCCTGAATTGCAGCACATTGTAGTTCACATTGTGTGACTTTTCTCTTACTTTTCAGACTGCCGAAAAGATTGATGGAACAGATAAGCTTTGTCTCATGATTGAAGAGTGTGGTGGCCTGGACAAGATTGAGGCTCTGCAGTCCCACGAAAATGAACTGGTCTACAAAGCTTCTTTGAATTTAATAGAGAAATACTTTTCGGAAGAGGTAAGCAATTGGGAGATCTGGCATTTAGAGGCTTCTCAAATTTTAATTCCAATCCTGCTCAATTATTTGCAGGCATTGGTCTTGTTGCATGTGGGCCTTGTTAAAGCAGGCCACACTGAACAGTCCAGTATTAAGAGTTGACTGAGCTCTCAAATTTCATTTTGCAGAATGAAGAAGACCAGAATGTTATGCCTGATACCACTGAAGATGGCTATGCCTTCCAGATTGATGCCCAGCAAGAGACGTTTCACTTCTAAGACTAAATATTTTTTCAGCAGCGTTCCAGCTGTCTCCTGTGTCTTGTCCCCTTTAGGTTCTTTATTTTTACCTGTTGTCCTGGCACTTAAAGCACACTATCAGTTGCTGGGTGTGTACATTTGTGAATGTGTACAAAACTTTCACTGCCTATCTTGTAAAATTCTTACATTTCTCTTAGAATGTAAATACTTTTTAAAACTGCCTCTTTTCTTCATAAACCGCATGCACAAATATTGAATTTTCTTGCCATTTTGAATGGTTGGGTATATTGAAATGCCCTATTGAAACACTTGCCTTTTGTTTGTATGACATTAATAAAAAATCTTTGTACCAAAGAAACCTGGAGTTGTGTGTGTAGCTAATTTCTGCTATCAAAGTGCACTGGTTGAAATTCATTTTCTTGTATTGAATTTTTAGGGTACTGTTCCAATTTTTGCTCATGTGTTTCCTGCTGCCCACTGACACATGCCTCTGCTCCTGGACAGGCCAGTTCTTGCTGGGGCACTTGTCTTCTGGCACCATAAGATCAGAGGTATGGCCACTCGACCGTAGAGGATATTGCAGCTAAAGAACCCACCCAACCAACATGTATACACAATCAGTGGAATGATGCTGTAGAAACAGGATTTTATATATATATACACACACATATAGAATAAGTTGTAAGATTTAGTGTGGTCCTAATTCTGATGCAGTGCCTCGCTGTTCTTCATTCCCGTAGCTGCTGGTTTTCCACTCCCTAATCCTGTGAAAGCCTGGACCAATTTAGTCTCCTGAAATGCTGGGTGAAACCAGCAAACTCAGCACAGACTTTGATTCAAACAAGCTCCTGGTCAGTTTCCTGCAGCTCCATACATTACACTAGTAATATGTTAAAATCCAGAGTAGAGCCCTCACCATGATAATAATGCAATCCTTGCATTTTTTGAGCAATTATTACCCCTGGAAAAGCTATCTGCTAATCTACTAACAATCGGGTTCCTAGTTACCGCTGCTAGGTAAATGGATGCGTGGAGTAAGGAAATTTACCCAATAGGTTTGCACTGTGAGGTGCGAATGCATCTTAATGCAATAGGAGTCCAGCAGAGGACACTAGTGTTCTTTAAATTGCGTTTCTCATTAGCAAACAAGTTTCCAATATTACACAATATGTGTATTTTTAAAGAATGCAGGTTGATGATTGAGAATCTGTCTTAATTATTTTTAGTTGAAGTCTTAGTGCTTTAGTTGTGCAGATTTTTTTTCTGTATAATTAATTGTAAAGTTTAGTGCAGTCCTAATTCTGATGCATGCTCTGCCTCGCTACTCTCCATTCCCACAACTGCTTTGTTCACGATAACAATTCAGTGGCATGTTTTGAAGTAAACTCTCTCCACGTAATATACCATGGAATAAAATAGGGGGATGTTCAGTTTATTTAACTGAAAATGATTTGCCAAAATTTAACTGACACTGAACCTTTGTCTTCCAGATTTTAATTGATTAGCTGTGTATTTCCAGTCTTAATTTTGTTTTACTTCAGATTTCCACTCTTAAAAATAAATAATAATCCTTGCATTTGATATAGATTATTGAGACATCTCAAAGCTCTTCACAGGATATAATGTAAAGTGTAATAACTGTCTATTTTGTGGGTTAAAGCTCTTGTAGTTTAGTAAAGTATGAAATTCATCCCCACAACTTCCCAAGTTCTGCCACCCTGCTATGAGAAGACTTGGCTTGTCGGCTGAAAGGAACTTTTTGTCTTGTGTGTGTGTGTATATATATACTGGTGACACAAAAAGTCTTTGCAATGTAACAACCTATGTGTGGATTTGGTATTCATTTTCTGGCAGTTATTTCTCTTAAGTCAATATTATTAACCATATTAAGCATTGATTTTTCTGGCACTTGCCAGAACAAAAATGCAGAGTCTTAACACACTCAAATACAAAGAATACCTTCAATAGTTCACATTGCTTAGGTATATAATACAGGATTGTCCCAATATCTCAGGGCAAGGGAGGTGCTCAACTTACAAATGCTTCATTATGTAGTGAAATAAAAGAAGACTCAAATTGGGTGGTAAGTTTCAAATTATAATTATAGTGAAAAGGTGCATAGAATCAATGGATTGGAGGTTTGAATTTGCCATTTCCCTCAGGGACAGGTAGTGCCTTTCATATCATGAGGTTCAAAGCTTTTTACAGGATTTACTGTATAAGTGTAGTGACTGTGTTTTGTAGGTGAATGGTACAAAATGGGTACAGTTATGGATATAATAATGACAGATTGCTAGTTTTTTAGGGGGAGGGGGGTAAATGGGGAGGGAATAAAAGTAAGCATTGCCAGTGAGTTAATACAAAACTGCTGCCCGTGTCTTCCACCTATACCAGACTCCGCACCCCCATCACCCAGTTCTTGCCGGGCCCCACTGGCTGCAATGCGGAACGGATCGATTTCAATACCACTCTCACTTTCAAATCCCTCCCATGCCCTGCTACCTCCCTACCTCGCTCGCACCTCCCACTCCACAAACTGCTGCCTTCCTTCCGCATGTTCCTCGCCTCGTCCGCTCCGCCAATTGGCGGCCGTGCTTTCAGCCACTAACGCCTCGCAACTCTGGGACTCCCTTCATCGATCCCTCCCACTGACTTTACCCGACTTCAAATCCACACCTCAAGACTTTCCTCTTCGATTATACCTTCGGTGTCCCCCACGTCCCCGTCCCACCCCTTTCCCGGTCGGTCGGCGTCAGACCGCACTGTCGTTAAGTGCTCTGAGACGCTCCTTGAAAGAAGGGGGTTTGAGTAAATGCAAGTTGCCGCTGAGTGAAGAAATGAGGGTGAAGTTATTTTATGGGGGTGGGGGGGGGGGGGTGTTAACAGGGGCAGGCGGGCTGGGCTGCACTAGACCAGTCTTATTTCTGTGGCCTTGACAGGCAGGAGGAGCTGTGGTCGCCATGATTGATTGGGGCGATGTGAACAGTCCTGGGACTCGCAGAGTTTCCAGAGAGAGAGGAGCAGGAAAGTAGCCGAAGAGCTTCAGCAAAAGGCACCGCCAACTTTCCTCCTTCCTCCTGTGTGTGTGTGTGTGTGTGGATTTACTCGCAGCAACGAGGGGGGAAGACCAGACAAGACAAAATAAAATACCCCACAGCAGCAGCAGCAGCAACAACACACCGACTGCTGATTTTTTAACGAGTCTTTTCTTTTTAAATAATCATAATAATAATAATAATAATAAATAATTCCAGAGAAAATACCTCGTCCAGTGAGAGATAAGGGCGGGCGGGCGGGCAGGCGGGGGAGACGAGACACGAGGGGGCATCACATTCCTGAACCACGACCGAAGATGCGAAGTGGGGGTTGTGGGGGGGGTTGTGGTGGGCGAGAGTCAGAGGGAGTGAGCACGAAGGAGAGAGAAAGAGGGTGGGAAGAAGGAAGGAGTGGGGTGGTGGGGGGGGGGAGAGAGTGAGAGAGAGTGAAGCTCTCCGCTGACTGGAGAGTTAGTTGGTCGCGAGCGAAAACACGACGAGAGAGAGAGAGAGAGGAGGCGGGAGACGAGTTTTTTTGGGGGAAAAAAATATTATTTTTTAAATATATATATATATGTATATTTATTTTTTATATATATTAAAAAAAGGGGCGGATTTGCGAAGAAGAGCGGCTCTTAATGCCCGAGCTGAGGTAAAAGCCGTGACGGGATGAGATGAATCCCTCGCCCCCCCCCTCCTCCTCGCGCCCTCACCCGCCAGTCGCCGCCAACGACCAACGGATTTTTTTTTCAAAAATAACCGTCGCTCTCGCGGCCCGTCCGCGCGGCGCGCCGGGCCGGGGCCGGGGCGGGCGGGCGCTTGCGCGCGCGCCTGCGCGCTGTGCACATCCGGGCCACTGCGCTCGAGGAGGCCATCATTGTTCGCTCGGGGACAGGGGGGGAGCGCGGCCGATTTGAGGGGAAGAGCGTTCATCGGCGGCAGGAATTATAACTTTTCTCTCCCCCCCCCCACTCCCTCCCCTCACCTCCTCCACACACACACACGCCGCACATATATACATATATATTTATATCTACATATATATTGCGAATATATATATATATATTTTCTAAAAAAAACACCACGTACAAATCGCTCGCGACTCGGACATGTCCAGCCAAGGGGCCAGGAGGAACGGGCCGGTGAAGTTACGCCTGACAGGTAAGCCCTGGCTGCCTGTAATATTATTACTGTGTATCATATATATGTGTGTGTATATATATACAGATATATATATATATAAAAACTTACGTTGCTTTAAATCTCACAGAAAGGGATCTCTTCCTCCGCTCTGTCTCCCTCTCTCTCTCTCTCTCTCTCTGTGTCTGTCTGTCTGCCTCTTACTTGTGAATGGAGAGACCAGACCTTGTGCTGGAGATGTGTTTTAAGCGAAGAATTGGCTCAAGTGGGAAAATTATCGAGTGACTTTTTTTACATTTTTTTTTGCACCCACCACCACCACCACCACCACAAAAAAAAAGAAAAAGTTGGCGTTTCTTTTTTCCCCCCCACCCTCCAACCGCGCATCGTAAGTTTTTTTTTAATATATATGAAAAAAGAAGTGCTAAACGTGATGGAGTGGTGTTTTTTTTAAAATGTATTAAGACGGTTTTTGTTCTTGTGAATTATTGTGATCATTTATTGGTTATTATTATTATTATTCTTATCTCGATACTGCTGTGTGTGTGTGTCGGGAGTGAGAAAGTAAAGTCGTATCACCAGACAATACTGTAATAATACATTTCTCTTCGTTATGTGTAGGTCTCTTCGTGCCTGTGATGAGTTTAGGCCTTGCAGAGTAAACTGGTTATTATTCCCAGCGGTTAGGAAGGAGAGGCTTTTAAAATATTCTTTCTATTTCAACCTATATCACTCCATCCTATGAAATATACGCAGTTTTTTGAGATTTGATCGAATCATCTCTAATCCTGTTGTATTTATGTTCCCACCCTTTGAAAGAAGTGCAGCCGAGCAAATTTGGCATTAATTCAAAGTTTATGTCTGTTGCCTTGTGTTATTACTGTCTCGTATTTATATTTTCGTTCCATTTTTAGGGGACTTCCACATTAAACATATGCACTTGATCACATTATTTATAATGTGACTAATTTGTTCCCTTCAAAGTTTCAGGGAAATGTATGCCACAATACTGTAGTTGCCTCCCTCTTTGGTGTTTATACTGTAGGTCAGATAATGGTTTAAAATACTGTAGTTAGTCCTATCTGAAAGATGTTAAAAATAAAAAACAAACTTAAGCTTTTGAGAGTTTTTATCATTATTTTAAGATCTATAAATTTGAATTTGTTTGTAGAGAAGTGCACAAGTGTTTGTTCAGGGCCCTAAATTACAATCCCATTGATCAGTGGAACATTGGTTCTTGCACAATCCTAATTCCATACTTGAAATGGCGAGTTTGTCACTTAGTTCACATCAGCTTCTCCAGTGGATGAAAAGAGGCATTAGCAGGGGGAACGGGAGCAGATGAGCTAAATGCATTTAGTTTAAGAATGATGTATATTGATCTGAGGGAGAACGTAAAGGAGCAAATTTAAAAAAAAGAATTACGATGCAGATAGAAAAATTAAAAATAATTAAAAGTTTTGTCATTTGATTTCCAGGAATGCATTAAACAGTGGTAAATGTCAGTTTTATTTGAAAACTGAGATTATGGATTTTATGCTTTAAAAACATGTTTTATTTTAAAGGATCTTATAACCAAGTAACGTGTATATACTCCAGATGGTAGAGTTTTTTTGTTTCTCTACTTTTCTCCTTTCCTGAAGATACTTGTCTCAAAGGTTCATCTCTGGTATCTCACCCTAGTACAGTAATTGCATTCTGAGTCAATTCAGGTAGTTAGTTTGCAAGTGTGGTTTATTTTTGGTCAACCGGGTGTCTGACACATGCGGAAACCCATCACCGTGCTTAAGAGTAAACAAACCAAGCTGAGATTTCCATGCATCCCACCTACACATGGAAATCCCAGAGATAGATTGTTGTGTGGTTAGACAGCAAGTGTGTGTGGGGGTGGAGGGGGAGGGTGGACTCCAGCCAAGATTTAATTTTGTCCCTAAAAGATATGAACATTAGTGATTAATAGCAATAATCCTTGCAATTGATTTAGCGCTTTTCATGTATTCTAGACGTCTCAAAGAGCTTCACAGAATATAAAGTGAATGTAAAGTGAATTGACTATCTTTTGTGGGCGAAACGCTGCAGCCAATTGCACACAGCAGTGTCCCACAAACAGTTGCGGATTGAGTGACAAAATTATTACTGTTTTTTTTCTTGAGGAATTATGGCAGATTAAACCCTACTCTTTTTACCCTGTTGCCACAACGCTTGAGATCTATAAACAATTAGATATCAAACCTGAGACTTTCCTCTCTTGGATTCACTAACTGAGATATTGCAAGATTGCTTGTTCCATTTTTAAGATGTGTATAGTAAACTGAAATAATGAGTAGATTAAAGTTAATTAATTATGCAATGGTTTCTATTTTATATTTTCATTTTAAAAGTCTTTAACTTCTTGATAAAATACATTAACGGCTTTCATGTAATTTGGGCAGTTGCCTGTTTTTCTGTAAATTTGTATCTTGAATTTTGTAAGTCAACACTGAGAAAAGCTGAATATTGAATTATTATTTTTAACTTGTTTTATATAGTTGTTTTTCTGAACCCAATTATTTTGAGGGAAAAACATGACTTAAGGGAAGACAACAATTTACACTTATACAGCACCCTCTACACAGGGTAGCGTCTCAGAGCACTTAACAGTGGCAGAGCCTGACTCTGAGCTGGGGGGGAGGGGGGAGGTGGCCGAAAGCATGGTCGAACAGGAAAGTTTTCAGGTGGGACTTGAGAGAGGGGGCAAGGCGGAGGGATTGAGGGAGAGTGTTCCAGAGTTTTCGGGCGCAGTGGCTGAAAGCCCGACCTCCGATGATGGGGCGGAGGGTGTGAGGGACGAGCAGGAGGCCAGTGCCAGTCGAGTGGAGGCGCCGGGTGGTGGATTGGGGATTGAGGAGATAGGGAGGTGCCAGGGAGTGAATGGATTTGAACACAAGAGTGAGGATCTTGAAGTCGATCCATTCGATGATGGGGAGCCAGTGGAGCTTGGGCCAGAACTGGTGAGATGTGGGTACGGAGTTTGGTCTGAGTCAGTATGCGGGCAGCAGGGTTTTGAATGAGCTGGATCTTGTGAATGGTGGAGCTGGGGAGACCGGCAAGAACTGCGTTGGAGTAATCCAAGTGGGAGGTGACAAACACATGTACGAGGATTTTGGCTGCATTTGGGGTAAGGTACAGTCGGAGCCGGGCAATGTGGCGGAGGTGGAAGAAAGTGGGCCTAGTCAGGGACCAGATGTGGGGGAGGAAGGATAGTTGGGGGTCAAACAGGATGTTTAAGTTGCACACTGGTTCGGTGAGTCTGAAGGAGAGCCCAGGGAGGTTGAGGAGTTTAAATCCGCAGGAGTGAAGGCGTTGACGGGAGCCAAGGAATGTGGCTGCTGTCTTGTCCATATTCAGCTGCAGGAAGTTTACACTCATCCAGGCCTTGATGTCTGCCAGACAAGCTGATAGAACATCGGCGGACCTGGAGTTGGTACTGGAGGAGGCAAAGTAGATTTGTGTGTTATCCGCATACATGTGGAAGTTTACCCCATGTCTGCTGATGACATCGCCCAGAGGGAGCATATAGATAAGGAAAAGAAGAGGGCCAAGGATGGAGACTGGGGTACCCCGCAGGTGACCTGGCGGGGGCGAGAGGCGAAACCATTTGCTGAGGTGAAATGGAGGCAGTTGATTAAGTAGGACTCAAATCATGTGAGTGCAGTTCCACTAAGGTAAATGAAAGAGGAGAACCGATGGAGGAGGAAAACATGGTCGACTATGTCGAACGCGGCAGAGAGATCCGCATTCTCTCATTCAAAGGTATTTGAATCTGTTAATATAGATAGTGTTTCCATAGAACACTGAGTTTCAAATGTTGTGCAACTGCTGAACCTAGGTGACTGAGCCAGATATTTTTTTAAAAAAATCTTATATATTACTCAGCTTTTGAAGGTGTTTGCTTATACTGGAGTACAAACATTGGCTACCAGACGTAAGCTGTTGTCCTCGAGACAATTGTACAAGTTAACGTGTAGGCCCAGAGGAAATGTCGCAGCAGTTTTGATCATGATGGCATCACACCGGAGTACAATTTCTGATCACGTCTACCATACGCTTATTTGTCCTTTTCAGAAATCATTGAGTCATGATTAGCAAAGCTGACCAACTTTTTTCACCCAACTCACAGTCCAAGGCACCGAGGACAGTTGTGCTGCTATCTTAGATGTGGTGGTATGCATATTTGGATCCCAGAGGATCGAGTTCAAGATCCTCGTCCTCACCTTTAAGGCCATCCATGGCCTTGCCCCCTCCTACCTCTCTGACCTGCTGACTCCCTACGAGCCTGTCCGCTCCCTCCGTTCATCGGGCTCCGGCCTGTTCCACATGTCCCGCCCGACGCGTCCTACCATCGATGGCCGGGCTTTCAGCCTCTCCACCCCCACGCTCTGGAACTTCATCCCACGGTCCCTTTGCATCGCTTCCTCCCTTGCCTCCTTCAAGGTCGGCCTCAAGACTTTTCTCTTCGACCGTGCCTTTGGTCTCCCTCCGACCTCTCTGCCTTCCCTCATCCCTACACCACCCTCCCTCTCCCATGCTCGGGCCCCGACACCTGACTGTTCAGCGCTTTGGGACGTCCTCCCGACGTGAAAGGCGCTCTATAAATGTAATTTTGTTGTTGTTGCTGCTGCTTTACTTGTAAGCTTGACAATTGTTTTCTGCATGTGTCAGACACCCAGCTAATGGAATTTTTTTTATCTTTGTGTTGATCAACTGTATAGCTACCATTGAGTAGTTTTTCGTAGAATTGCTTGGGGGCAGTAGTGTCATTGGATCTGCCATGTTTACAACCAGCGTTCACTGATAGAGTGAGTGCACAGCTGTTTCATTTATTTTTAAACCCTAGTGGCTCATGGGGAAAATAGTTGTGATCTGGTTATCACTTTATAAGTGAAATAAATTCTCCATTTCACATACATGAGATAACAAGTGGGTGTTGCATGCAGTTTTTAGGGCAATGTGGATTATAAGAATTGTTTTACCTACCTGCA